CAGAGAGAGAGAGAGAGAGAGAGAGAAAGAGAGAGAGAAACATGGATGTGAACCCGGGTCTCTCCACAGTCCGACACTCTAACCGCTGAGCCAAACCAGCCAGGGCTGCTGCTGTAATTTTTAATGAACTTGTGTCTAGCAGCATATGCAAAAAACTTCTCTGGAGTGTAACACCTCAGGAGTGGGTCATAGGAGACGTGCACCTTTTTAGATATTGCCAAAATGTTCTTCAGAGTTATTTTGGCAATTGATTGATTGCCAACCAGCAATGTATGTGAGTTTCCATTTTTCCCACATCCATGCCAACATTGGACGACATTATTCAACTTTTTGCTTTTTTAGCAATCTTTTGGCTGTATTTTGCATAGTATCTCACTGGCATTTCAATTTGCATTTTCCTGATTACTAATGAAGTTTACTATATTTCATATGTTTAGTAACTGCTTTTGTTTCCTTTTCGTGAAATACTTGATTATGAATTTTGTCTGTTTTTTATTTTTATTATATATATGTGTGTATGTATGTATATATATTTATAAAATATATATATATATTTTATCCTCACCCGAGGACATTTTTCCATTTTTTGTTCAGATAGAGTGGGAGGGAGAGAGAGAGAGAGAAACATCGACGTGAAAGGGACACATCGAGTGGTTGCCACCTGCACAACCCATCCAGAGCCGAGGACAAACTGCAACCAAGGTACATACTCTTAGCAGGAACCGAACCGGGGTCTCTCTGGACTGCAGGCCAATGCTCTAACCACTCAGCAACCGGCCAGGGCTGTTTTTTATTGTTTTTAAATGTTCTTTGAATATTGGATACTAATCCTCTATTGATGGTTTGTGTTGTAGGCATCTTCTCCCACTCTGTTTACTTTTTATTCCTTTTTTAAAAGTTAATTTTATTTTATTTTACTGATTTGAGAGAGAGAGAAACATCGAAACATCGATGTGAGAGAGGAACATTGATCAGTTGCCTCCTGCATGTTTGCAAGACTGGGAATCAAACCCACCACCTTTTGGTGTATCAGAGGACTCTCAAACTAACAGAGCCATCCAACCAGGGCTACTTTTTATTCTTTGTATGGTGTCTTCAGACAAAAAGAAATTCTTAACTTTAATGTAGCCAAATTTATTTGCCCTGTCTTCCATTTTCTCAAATTTGGATCCGTTGTTCCTGCATAATTTATTGAAGGAATTTGACTTGTCCCCACTGCTTTTCAGTGCCACCTCTGTCATGGAGTAAGTGTCAATATATGTAGATTTGTTTCTAAGCTTTGTTTAATCCTGTTATTTCCTGTGCTGTGTCTAATCTGTTTAACTTGCCCATTTAATTTTTAATTTGATGTAAAATATAGTTCTAGCCCAATCAGTGTAGCTTAGTGGTTGAGCATCCACCCATGCACCAAGAGGTCACCGGTTTGATTCCCAGTCAGGATACATGCCTGAGTTTCTGACTCGATCCCCAATAGGGGGTGTGTGCAAGAGGCAACCAATCCATGTTGATGTTTCTCTCTCATTGATGTTTCTATTTCTCTTTCCCTCTCCCTTCCTCTCTCTCTAAAAATACATTTAAAAACATATTAAAAAGAAAAAAATAAAATATATTTCTAGATGTTTCTTTTTCAAATCTTCATTCATGGTCAGTTTTCTGTCCTGGCTCATACCTTTGATACTTTCTTTTATTTCTTTAAACTTATTGAAATTATATCAAAACTGTCTTAACTAAATTAGTCATTGGGTAATTTATTCTACAGATAGACTTGCATACCTGCCAAATGATATATGAACACTGTTATTCATTCCAACATTAATTGTAAGATAGCAAAAGACTGGAAACACCCTAAATGGTCATCAATTGAAGACTGGTTAAATAAACTATTGTACATCTACACAAAATGGATTCAATGCAGAGAAAGACAAAAAAAAAAAAAAAAAAAAAAGCAGCAGCCCTGGTTGGTTGGGCTCAGCGGTTAGAGCCTCAGCCTGTGGTCCAGAGAGACCCGGGTTCGGTTCCCGCTAAGGGCACGAACCTCGGTTGTGGTGTGTCCCCAGCCCTGGTTGGGTCATGCGGGAGGCAGCCACTAGATATGTCCCTTTCACGTGGATGTTTTTTTCTCTCTCTCTCTCTCTCTTCCTTTCACTCCCTCCCACTCTATCTGAACAAAAAGTGGGAAAATGTCCTCCGGTGAGGATTAAAAAAAGAGAGAGAGAGAAAGAGAAAAAAAGAAAGACTAAAGAAAGGATGCTTTAAGGAACTGATGTAGATAGATTCCAAAAAGCAAGGTGGGAACAGTCTGCTGCTACCTTTTGGTTAAACAAGTGGATAATAGGAACCTGTAAAATGCAAATATAGGTTCCTATTGTCCACAGTATTAACATAGAAAATCTATAGCTATCTTATCTACCACTGCCACTTCCATAAAGAAACCTGGTCTCCAGAAGCCCTGGGGCAGTTCTGAGTCACTAGGAAATTGGTGTGTGTGTGTGTGTGTGATGGGGGATCTAGGGGTCCTTGTGGTCTTCAGTGTGTCTGGAGATATTTGGGGGTCTCCAGTGGCCTTAGGGGTGTCTTGGTATATTTAAGGGGCCATGGTGCCTTTGGAGACCCCGGGGTTCATCCCTGACCTGACGGACGCCATCTTTCCCTCCACTTCGTCTTTCCCCAGGAGCCCCGCGGCCCGGGCGCAGCCACGCCGCCCTTGGGCGAGGCTGGGGTCCCCCACCGCTTCCGGCGGGCAGCGGCGCGCGGCGAGGCAGCGGAGGCCGTGCAGGAGCTGGCGCGGGCGTTGGCGCACCTGCTGGAAGCCGAAAGGCAGGAGCGGGCGCGGGCCGAGGCGCAGGAAGCCGAGGACCAGCAGGCGCGCGTCCTGGCGCAGCTGTTGCGCGTTTGGGGCGCTCCCCGCACCACCGACCCGGCCCCGGGGCTGGAGGACGACCCCGACGCGCCCGCCGCGCAGCTGGCCCGCGCCCTGCTCCGCGCCCGCCTTGACCCCGCTGCCCTGGCAGCCCAGCTGGTACCCGCCCCCGTCCCGGCCGCTGCACTCCGACCCCGGCCCCCAATCTACGACGACGGCCCCGCGGGCCCCGAGGCCGAGGACGCCGGTGACGACACACCTGATGTGGACCCCGAACTGCTGAGGTAGCTGGTACGGGGTGGGCGGAGGGGAGGGGCGGGCGGACGCCTGGGTTCCCGGACCCTAGGAGGGAGGCCCTGGGCCCAGGCTGTGGGTACAGAGATGCGTGCCTGGGGGGACAGTGGCGGAGGTGCACTCTCAGGCCCGGGGTTGGGTGACTCCAAAGTCCGGTTTCTGGGGAGAGGATGGGGAAACGCGGACTTTGTCCCAAAGCAGTGGGCTGGGGACGGCGGGTCCCCAGACGTCATGGGGTTGCAGGGCCGTCTGGGATCTAGGGCCCTGGCGTTGACACGCCCACACATCTTACTGCCTCCGTTCTGCTCCCCTGCAGGTACTTGTTGGGGCGGATCCTCGCGGGGAGCGCGGATTCGGAGGCTGTGGCTGCCCAGCGCCGCCGCCTCCGCCGCGCCGCCGACCAGGATCTGGGCCCTGATGTGCCACCTGAGGGTGTGCTGGGGGCCCTGCTGCGCGTGAAGCGCCTGGAGACTCCTGCGCCCCCCGCGCAGCGCCGCCTCGTGCCGGCCTGAGCACCGCAGGGGTCCTGCGCGCCCTCGGGTCCAGGACCACCCCTCCCCCGCCAGCACGACTGCTCCTCCGCCACCGAGGGCCCACGGCCGCCCCTCCCCCATACCCCAACTGCTTGCGCCAGCACTGCTCCTCTGTCAGCAGGGGCCCATTCATGGTCGCCCCTCCCCCGACACCCGAAGGTCCCCACCAGCCCGTTACTACCCTCTGAATCCCCCAAGATCACCACCCCTGACCCCACAATAAATACTATCTGCAGCAGCTATGCACTTGTCTATGAGTGGTGGTTTCTAGGGGCTGGTGGACTGGGTAGTGATGGCCACCCTTAGACCAGGAAGAGCGGCCCCTGGCCTCGGGTCTGGCTCTTTAGAGACCCCCTCCCTTAGTTTGTGCCTCAGTGGCAGTGCCCGCCCAGATCCTGTGTCCCACTTCTAGGCCTCGCTCAGGCAAGGGGAACCCAGAAGGCTTTGGCGCCACTTTCAAGCTACCTGCGTTAAGAGAAAGGGAGTGGACTGCAAAGCCAGGGCTCTGCCCTTCCAACCCATTCACATCTCGGCATGAAACTGCACAGTATTAGAAATCAGAATCTGGGCCTCCAAGTCGTTAAGAAAGTGTTATTTATCAAGGTAGAATGATAGGACATATCTTCTTTACATTTGTTAGCTTTATTTGTAATGTTTAAATATTCATTTCTATTGAATAGAAGCTGATCTATCTTTACCTAGTCCTGAAGATACAGGGTGTTGGAGTGTTGGTAGCTGGTCTGTGGTCATGGCCTTTGTACTTGCTATTCCCTCTGCCCCTAGTTATCTGCAAGTTTTGCTCAAATGTCACCTCAGTAAGGCTTTCCTTGACCTGTCAGGCTTTTATCCCTTCACCTGCCTTTAATACATAGTCTTATGTCATATGTACAAGGGCAGGGATGTGTGTGTGTGTGTGTGTGTGTGTGTGTTGTCTGTCTCTACATCCTTTGCACCCAAAGCAAGGCCTGGCACACAGCGGGCTTCCCCACATTTCTTGAATGAAAGAGTTTTCACAATTCAAGTAACATTCTCACCAGTTTCACACCCACCCACATAATGCTTGGCATAGAGGCAGCTTTGAAACCTGAGAACACTATTTTATTTTGCACAAAATCTCTCAACTTGACAGAATATAATCAATAGTATGTTCCACATTACCAAAAAGCCCACCACCAAACAAAAACCTTCCCGGAAGAGGGGTCCATCTATCCCAAATACACCCAGTGTCCCACATAGTTGGTTGCTCGGGGTTCTCATATCAAGGAAGCATCACCCTGGCCTGGGGGATGGTCCATTTTTCTTGATCAAGACCTTCAGGCCACAGAACAGCCACAGTGGCACATGGTCTTCTGGTGCCGAGACTTATTGCCACCTGACCCTGCCTCAGCCTCCTTTGCCATGGCCTCCTGGACCCTTTGGATCTCATGGATGAGCAGGGAAAAAGCCTCTTCTACACCTTGCCGTGTTTTGGCTGAGGTCTCCACAAAGGGGGCCCCCCAGCTCTTCGCAAGGGCTATAGCAGCAGCATGAGCATCTCCAGTGGTGGTCACAAGGTCGCACTTGTTGCCCACAAGGACAAGGGGCCGGGTATAGTGAGGACCCCAGGTGGCCCGCATCTGCTGCAGCTGGGTTAGAGATGAGGGGTCATCGAGGGCAAAGACACCCAGCACACCATCCCCAACAGCCAAGCACTGGTCACGCAGGGCCTTATGAGTGGCCTGCCCGGCTGTGTCCAACACATTCAGAATGTAGCCCCCATGGTCCAGGGTCACCTCCTTCCAGTAGGAATCCTGGATCGTGGGGTCATGGTCTTCCACGAAGCACTGGTGGTTTAGCTGGATGGTCAGTGCGCTCTTGCCCACACCACTTGCGCCCACCACCACTGCCTTGTACTCCGGCAGCTGCTTGCCCCTGGAAGGTGCCTGAGACCTGTGGCTCTCCTGGGTGCTAAGGCTCCATGAGCCCAGGCCCAGATCAAGCATGCTAGGCTTTTTTGGTGGTGCCATGCTCAGGTAAGAAATATGGACAGCAGGCCCTGCAACTGGGGAGAGAAGAAAGACAATTGGGGGGTGGGGGGCAGGGGGTGAACAGTAGGTTAGACCAGGAGACCATGGGGGCAAGGGGGCAGCTGGTGTCACTGAGTCAACATTTACTGAGTGCCCAGTGTGTGCTAATCACCTAATATGCTATATTAATTATTTATGTTGTTTATTCTCTTTCTCTCATTCCCTTCTACGACATAAACTCTGTGAAAGCAGGGATTTAAAATATATTTTTCTTTCTTTATTGATTTTAGAGAGAGGAAGGGAGAAGGAGAGAGATAGAAACACTGATGAGAGAGAACATCGATTGGCCGCCTCCTGCATGCCCTCCCCCCCACTGGGGATTTGGCCCACAACCTGGGCATGTGCCCTAACCAGAATCGAACGGGATTTTAAAAACAGCTTTGTTGAGACATATTTTATATACCATAAAGTTAATATAGTTAAAGTGTACAATTCAATTACTGTTAGTATATTTGAGGAGTTATGCAACCATCACCATAATCTAATTTTAGAAACTTTTTGTCACCCCAAAAAGGAACTCCCTGCCCATTCGTTGTCCTGCCCCACTCCTGGGATTTTGTTGGTTTTGATATCCGAGTTTGTTGAACCCCAGCCCAGCACAATGCCTGTCACACAGTAAGTGCTAAGCAATATTCCTGTCCCCAGGGAGTATATGTTCTAAAAGGTGGGGACAATGAACCAAATAAATAAGCAAATTATGATGTCTATTAGCCATTATCTAAAATTCAGTCTTTATTACTTATTCAACATACTGCTACTGGGAATCTACTCTATGACAAAGTGGGGGAAAATCTATAACAAACCCTGGTCCTCAAAAATGTGATGATCACCTGGCTTGTGTTGCTCAGTGGTTAGCATCAACCCATGCACCAAGAGGTCGCTGGTTTGATTCCTGGTCAGGGCACATGCCCAGGTTGTGGGCCAAATCCCCAGTGGGGGGCATGCAGGAGGCGACCAATCGTTGTTCTCTTTCATCGATGTTTCTATCTCTCTCTCCCTCTCCCTTCCTCTCTCTCTAAAATTAATAAGAAAAAAAAAAAAGAATGTGACAATCTATAGTCAGGAAGACAACAAAGATATTTCAACAACAGGTGGTAAGCATGCAGAAGGTGCTTGGTTAATGCTAGCATTTTTATTATGATTCAATTTTCATTCATTACTTAAAGAAGTTCCTGGCATGCCAGGTATTGTGATGGGTGCGGGGATGAGGGGTGTGGGAATGTGGCAGTGAACAAAATAAAGTCCCTGCCCTTGGGAGGATTAGATTCTAAAAGTGAGAAAGAGACAATAAACAAGATAAGCAAGTAAATTACCAAGCAATTAGAAGAGGATGGGCACACAGCAGGTGCTCAATGAGTGTTATCTATTAATAGCAAATCACCGTTAACTCATTCAATACACATCGAGATCTTCGTTCAGTGTGTGGCCTCAGGAAATGCATCTTAATGGCTGCTGCCTGTCTCCCTGGCAACTAGGGAGCAATGGCAGTTTAGGGGTAGATGGGGGGTTTCAGGTGTCCATGGGGGTTTGTTGTCTCGGAGGTGGAGGTCAGAATGGGGGAGCAAGGTCTAGCTGTGCGGTCCTCAGCCCAGAGAGATCCCTGAAAATAGTTACTGGATGTGCTCACCAAGAAAGAGGGCCATGAGGAAAGAGTTAAACAGGACAGAGTTCTGGGGGTCCCCAATGTTGGGGAGACAGAAAGAGGTAGAAGATCTCTCTTTGAGGACAAACTGAGAGGAGGGGGCGAGGGTGGAGGCAGTGAGGTGGCCACCGCAGTAGTTCTGGCACGATGGTGGTGGATGTGGAAAGGAAAAGTCGGATTCTGGTATATTCTGAAGGTGGAATTAACTGGCAGGATTTGCTGAGATTAAGAAGCAGGGAGGGGGTCAAAGATGACTCCTCAGTTTTGGGCCTGGGGAGATGTAAATCTGAGGTTCCCATTATTTGAGGGTGAGGACATGTGAGATGGGCTCTTCCCTCTTGGCAAGTCGCAGTGACTGTGACTATCATCCTAAAAGCACTAGATATTATTTACTGAGAACCTAGCTCATGCCAAGTGACCCGCCTGCCATGTCCACACTCAGGCCTCCTGATACCCTGGAGAGGTGTTGGCTAACATCACCGTGGCCACTCTATCAGTGAGGAACAGCAAGGGAGGTTCAGAGAAGTGAGGGTACGGTGACTGGCCTGAGGTCCCACAGTTCATCAGAGATCAACACAAGAGAGGTCTCACCCTTCGCAAGTAATAGAGAACGACTTTCTGTGCCAAGTGCTATTGGAGTGTCATTATGGGGTTCTTAGGACCCTGAGACCCCCCTCCCCCACCCCACCCCACCCCACCCCCATCCATGCTTCCTGGACCACATCCTTTGTGTGTCTTTTGTGTTCGCCTAACTACCTGTGGGGGGTGGGTTGGGGGTGGCACAGATTCAGGGAGAGTGGGGGGTGGGGAGACCACCTTAACGTGGGCCCTTACAACCCTGTTCAGGGCTAGCCCGGGACCTCACCGCACTTCCCAGTGACTAAGTCAGGTGCGGTTAGAAGGCTTGAGGCAGGAGGAGTGACCCCCAAGTTTTACCCTAAAACCCTGACCCTGTGCTCACTCTGGACCATCTCGGCCAGTTTTTCTTTAGGGGGGACGGCGTAGGGTAGGGGAAGGGACCTTTCACCCTCAGGCTGGGTCCGCGAGTCCGCAGTCCCACTTCCCGCCCTGCACGGTCCCTGGCCCAGCTCGGCCTCCACAAAGCCAGCGGCCGGCTGAAGGAGCTGGGATGTGGTGGCTGGCCCCCGCCAGAAGAGAAGCGGCAGAAGAGGAAGGGTACCCTTAAACCCCACCTCCGTCAAACTCCTACAGCCCTAGGTGGAGAGCCTCCCAGGTTGGGGCTGGGCTGAGGGCCCGTCCAGCAGCTCACCTCAGTCCTGGAGAGGAGGTTGCGCCGGGACCCGAACTCGCTGCAGCTCTGACAGGACCAATAGTGGAAGAGGTGCAACTCTAGCCCTGGAGCGGGGGTGGGGGCGGGGGCTACGCATGCGCATGGCCCGCCCTCAGGCCCCTCCAAGAACATATCCCCTCCCCTCACCACCCATCCCTGTCAGGGGGTGAGCTAGGGTCTTGCCCTTGCCTGCTGGTGTGCACCAAGGAAATTTGGGGTGTGCTGCCGGCAGCCAGACCACCCTGCGTGCCCTCTGCGTCCTGCTGCATCTTACCCTTACTTTGCCCCCAGTCAGGGCTTCGGTTTTTGGGTTTTTAGTGTGTGGGGGTGTTGGATTTTTTTACTTGAATGGCTAGACTTTGGGAAATATAGACTTTGGGAAATGTTTTGGGAGGACATAGAATCTCTACTGCCTCAAGGCGGCTTTTTGGTAGCTTGGGAAGAGGGTTGTGTCTGTTCTTGGAGGTAAAGAGTGGCAGAAGAGTGGTTATCCTGTCAGGGAAGAAAGAACCTGGTATTAGGTAGACATGTATCAAAGTTAAAAGATTTCCCAGACTCCCTTGCAGCTACCACAGTCATGTGACACAATTCTGACCAATGAGATGTAAGCAGGAGTTATTGGGTGGGGCATCCAGAATGTTCCTTAAAGGATGAACTGAGCTGGCCACAGCTCCCTTCCCCTCACCAATTCTCTTTCTTCTTGACTGAATAGGGCTCTCCTGGTCTTCTTGGGGCCATAATGTGGCCTTGAAGAAAAGTCAGAAACCTCAGCTCTGGACATGAGTTGCCAAATTAATTCTCATGTAGGAGAAATAAAACCCCCAAATTATTGCCTGGCCAGTGTAGCTCAGTGGTTGAGTGTCGACCCATGCACCAAGAGGTTGCCAGTTTGATTCTCGGTCAGGGCACATGCCCAGGTTGTGGGTCAAATCCCCAGTGGGGGGCGTGCAGGAGGCAGCCAATCCATGTTTTCTCTCATTGATATTTCTATCTCTCCCTCTCCCTTCCTCTCTAAAATCAATAAAGAAAAACAAAACAAAACAAAAACAAATTATCCTCCAGTTCCCCACCCTGGGTCCATAGTAGGCAATCCTTCCCCCTGAAAGCTACTCATGACTATTCAATTTAAGTATGTTAAATGTGAATACTCCCCTCCCCCGAATCAAGACAAAAAGACAGATGGAGATACTGGGGCCTGGTGAGAACACTTTCTGCTAGTTTTCTTGCCTCCTCAGCCCAGGATGTAGCTGGGACTGGCTGTAAGCCTCTCATTTATTTTTTTTGGTACATGCCTCTAGCAGGAACCGAACCTGGGACTCTCTGGTCCGCAGGCAGCCACTCCAACTGCTGAGCCAAACGGGCCAGGGCCAAGGCTCTTATTTCTAAGGCACTGATTTTCTCACGGATTCCACCATTTAATCTATAGTGGAGTTGGTCAAGCCGCTTGCTCTTTTTTGTTAGCTTTTTGGGTGCTGGCTGGGCAGGGAGTTGACCTGACGAAGACCTATGCCCTCATTTCTTCTATACTCATTAGCCATTGGCCAGGAGTGTAGGATTCTCCACCCAAGCAAGGTTAAAAGGCTCTCTTCAGGTTTTGTAACAGTTTGTACTTTATTACATAAGTAACCCACCATACCTGCCGGTTGATCCCCCCTCCCTCCAAAGTATCATCTTCTTGATAGCAGCACCCTCTTGGGGCCACTGAGCTGTCCCTCTTTCTTTTCTGGGGCAGAGTAGATGGAGTCCATAGAGCAGGCAGTGGGCAGGGGGAGAGCTACAATGAATCATCATAGTCCTCTTACAGGTATTTAAACTTAAGTCAGCATCCTTGGGGAGTTGTAGAGTTTTCAGGAAGGATGGAGTGAAACTGCCCCTCATCCAAGGTACAGGGTGGAATGAACTAAGGCTGGTCTATCTTGGGCCTCCGAAGGTGGAGAAGAGGAACACGTTCTGGGAGTTAGTGTGAGTGGGGCATGTCTTCCCCAAACTTGTTCTGGTGAGCAGCGTTCTTCACGTCTAGGAGAGCCTGAGGAGAAGGCAAGAGAGAGTGAGGACCCCCTCTACCTCAGCCGGGAGGCTGCCCCCACTCCAGCCCTCAACCACCCTATTTCCTGGACTATCTCACATGCAGAAGGGCCTCCTTTTTCCCCTTATCCAATCACAGAAGGTATGTGTGTGGGGGGAGTGAGTGTGCACACATTAGAGGGTCCTGCCTAGGGCCCACCTGGTGGTGAACATAGGCCTGACATCGGTAACACCAGGTAGACAGGTCAACGTAGCTGAGGACCAGCGGGTGTCCCGAGCTTTCATGGTGCCGGATCATATGGGCATTGACGTAACGACTGCAGTAGACCTGAGGTTAGAGATTGGATGTTGGGTAGGAATCAGCCCAGGTTTGTTCCTGGGCCAGCCTGGGCCCCATCCCCTTCCTCTGTTGCATACCTCATAGCAAGAAAGACATGCCCAGTTCTCCTGGAGTGCTCCACAGTCCTGGCAAGGTTGGGTCACATCCAGGCCAGTTTCAGGAATGGGACATACTTCCACCAAATGAGGACACCAGAGCAGTGGTGTCACAGCATAAAACATGGCCTGGGTAGGTAAAACTGAGTAAGCTAGGGACTTATTTCCCCATTATATGTTCCTGCATCACATGCTCCTACCTGGAGGCACAAATGGGTAAAAGAAGGAAGCCACCGTTCCAGCCACTCCCTGAGCTCACCTGGTCAATGTCCCCAAAGGCCTGCACTGGCACTGAATCATCCATGTCCTGACCTCCAGCGGCCTCTCCTAGTAGCCTCTCCTCTTCTGGGATCTCAGACTCTAGGGCCTTCTCAATACACAGAGGCAAGAGGTGTCTTTCAGAGTCCCAATTCATGCCCCTCTTTCCCCTACCTGGGTGTGGTGGTGGGTCTTACCTGAGCCTTGTTGTCTAGTTCCAAGGTCCTGAGATTCCCAATCAGTGTACTGAGGGATATCTTGGGTGTGGCTCCTTGCACAGGTGAGGTTGGAGTCTGGCTGTCAGTGCATGAGGCTTGAGAGGTTTGGATCAGCTCGGCTCCTCCCACAGCCTCCTCTGAGGTGGTGTGGTCCAGTGTGGCTCTCCCTGTGGCTGCCTCCAAGGCAGTCTGGTCTAGTGTGGCTCCCTCTGAGGTGGTATGGTCCAGCGTAGCTTCCCCCGTGACTGCCTCTGATGACTGGTCCTGAGTGAGTTCTACAACTGTCTCTGACTTAATCTGGGCTGGAATGGACTCTTGCACAGATGATGCTGATGTGGCCTTCTCCATGCCTGCATCCAGAATGTTCCCTTCTAGTGTGGTCAGCCTTTCAGCTGACCCAGGATTGGCTGGTTGGGGTGCCTCCTTGGTGATCAACTTAGAACTGAAGGGCCCCTCCTTGTCTTCGACCTCTGGAACCATGCAAGAGAGATCCTTGAGTATGGGTACTGTCTCTTCTCCTGCCTCTAATTCCTGCCCACCCCTAAGCCCTCCCTTGTCCCCAATTTCCCAGGCCCACTCACTCATTGTCCGCAAGCTGCGCCAGTATCTGCGATGGACTTGGATGGTCTCAGTGATTGAGGCCAGTGCCCCTAACAGTGGGGGCCGTGACAGGGTCAGCAGAGGTGGTGGGTCCCCAAGGAGGCTGCGGGTACAGGCAGCCATGGACTCCGAGATGGATGTCAGGTTATAGCCACCCTTTTGAAGGAAGAGGAAAGTAAAAGGTGTGATGGAGTGTCCTCAGGAAATTTGGGAGACAAGATGTCCTGCTTCCCAATCCCTCCTCAGAGTCCTGCAAGTCTGGAGGACGGCAACAGGGGACAAATGAATACAACCCATATCTTGTCAGGTGGGCAGCACCCATTGTGTGAGGTAGTTGTTGAGGGGGGATAAACTGCCATGTAAAGTGCAAGATAATAAGCACAACAGTCCTGACTGGTGTCAGTTAGCTGAGCGTTGTCCCATGCACTGAGAGGTCACTGGTTCAATTCCTGGTCCGGGCACATGCCCCGGTTGCAGGCTCAATCTCCAATAGTGGGAGGGTAGGAGGCAGCTAATCGATGTTTCTTTCTTTCTTTCTTTCTTTTTTTATCCTCACCTGAGGACACTTTTGCATTTATCTTCAGATAGAGTGAAGGGGGAGAGGTGGGAAGAAAGAGAGAAACACTGAAGCGAGAGACACATACAGTGGGTGCCACCCACCCGACCCCAACCGGGGCCGGGGACAAACCGCAACCGAGGTACGTGCCCTTAGCGGGAACTGAACCCGAGACTCTCTGGTCTGCAAGCCAACACTCTAACCACTGAGCCAAACCGGCGAGGGCTGTTTCTCTCTCTCTCTCTCTCTCTCTCTCTCTCTCTCTCTCTCTCTCTCCCTCTCCCTCTCCCGCTCTCTCCCCCTTCCTCTCTAAAATCAATTAAAATATTTTAAAAAATAACCACAATAACAATACTGATAGTAACATTAATAATAGCTGCTGTTCATTAAGTGCTTGCTATATGCTAGGCCCTGTTCTAAAGTCTTCAAGCATATTTTTAAAATTTTTAAATGTTTTATTGATTGATTTTAGAGAGAGAGGAAGGGAGAGGAAGAGAGAGATAGAAACATCAATGAGAGAGAACACTGACTGGCCACCTCCTGCATGCCCCTTACTGGGGATCAGGCCTACAACCTGGGCATGTGCCCTGACCAGGAATCAAACTGGTGACCTCTTGGTGCATGTGTCAATGCTCAACCACTGAGCCACACCGGCTGGGTAGGACTTTATGCATATTAACTCAATCCTCAAACCACACATGCTCAATCTGTGTAGGAACCTGTCTTCACAGTACAGGAACCTCTGGCTGCACCCACACAGAAACCCCTGCCCCAAACCTAGTACAGGAACAGCTGGTCTTTCTCTCCCCATGAACCCCTATTCTGACCTGGTATGGGAAGCCCCTTTTCGCATACTCCATATGAAATCCAGCCTCTACTCTTTTTACAGATAAAGAAACTGAGGCTCAGTGGTTAGACGATTTATCTGAGGTCCTAACAGCTGGGAAGAGGAAGTGCTGGGCTCGGAACCTGTGCTGATGAAAGAGTCCATGCTCTTTACCACCACTCCGCCATGCCATAAGCAGTCTGGGCGCACTGTGAGACTCTACTAGCCAGTTAATCTCTCTGTGACTTACTGTTCTCATCTATAAAGTAGTGAAAACAAGCACATAATATTTCTGAGAGGATGAAACTAGTGTATGAACAGTGCACAATAATCAGAAGCTACAGCACTTCGACAGTGCTTACCACATGCCAGGCGATCTTCCATGATTATCCAGCCTCATCTGAGGAAACTGGGGCCCAGGGGACGGGGACATTGAGTCATTTACAAAAGGTCAGTGAATTTACTTTGTCTAAGGAACTTGACAGAGGCAGTTCAAGTAGCGGTAAAAAGCAGACTACGGAGTCAGGCTGTTTGGATTCAAGCCCTGGCTCTGCCATTATTAAATGACTAGACCTCTGGCTAGTCACTGTATCTCTCTGTGCTTCAGTTTCCCTGACCTTGAGAGAGGAAAACGATGAGGTCAGTGAACCCCACCTCAGAAGGCTGCTTTGTCAATGAATTAATAATACATATAAAGTGTCAGAAGAGTGTCTTGCACATAGTGAGTACTCAATGGAAGCTGTTAATGCTGGTGCTATTATTAAGGCCCAGTATGTGCCAACAATCCTAGGTGGGGACACTCAAAGGAGATTTTAGGAAATCACCCCCAGTGGTGCAGCCAACTAGCAGAAAGGGCAGGACTCCAAGTCTTCCAAGCCACCCCCATCGGGGAAAGAGGGACCAAGATAGTTACCTCTAGGATTAGGATAATGCGGCCACTGGCAAGGCCCATCAGCAGGTGGGTGAGGTGGGCATAGCCCTCAGGTGACAGCTGGCAGCCCCCTAGTGGGTCCCCCCATGCTGCGTCAAAGCCAGCTGAGACCAGCACCAGTTCTGGATTAAACTAAGGCAGGGAGAGAAGAAATGCATGGGCATGAGGGTGGGGGCTTGGGTACATAGTAGTGAGGTAGACCCAGAAACACTGTGACAAGAACAAATGAAGACATGAAGACGCAAGTCAGAGAGATGGAGACATGGGACTTAGAGGCTGGGAGACACAAGACCAGAGTCCTGAAACCAGGAAGGGGAAGATGTGGGGACACGAGACAGAGAGACATGGAAAAGGATGGACAGTCACAGACACATCAGACACAGATTTAGACATGAAACACTAGAAATGGACAGATGGGGACATGAGGTAGAGATCTGAGACATGGAGACTCAGCCATCAAGAGATAGTGACATGAGACAGAGAGAGACAGAGATATCCTCACACACATGCCCAAGGGTGAGATCAAGAGGTACACACTCCCCTCCCTGGGTCAAACATGTGACACATGTGCACAAGACACAAGGTTTATACATACAGTGCCAAAGAGAGGTGCACACATATTTCCGTCTCAGACAATGACAATTCAAGTACCACACAAAGAAGATGGTCAGATACAGCCACACATACCCACACACAATTAGATAGTCTCATATAGGCCAAACAACACATTGTACTAGTGACGTACACACACAGTTTCTCCCAGAGGAGACAGTAATCCAGTCACCCCTGCACAGACACAATCATACATGTGCCACACTACATAGTCACAACAGTCACACTGTTGTGCCACAGGTGGTCACTTACACTCAGCCACACACACAATTTCACAGTTACACAAACACAGAAGGTAGTCACAGCCACTGTGCATCACCAGACACGTGTACACCACTGAACATGCACATTGGCACAGAGGTCAGAGATGATGCTTTTATCTGCCTTCTGAGTTAGTCACACAGTTTACACGTGGAGAAGATGGTTACCTACAGTCACTCATGCAGAATCAGTCAAATATATACAGGCCATCATTTCCAGTCAGAGAGACACACAAACAGCCATAGCAAAGAGACAGAAAGATGACTGTCACACATGCAAAAAGTCACACACCAGCTGTCACAGAAACAGTACCCATCACACAGAGAAATGGTAGTAGAAATAGCCACCTGCGCAGTCTCACATACATACTCAAACCCTTCCCCACCTTGCACATGCAGTTCCACAGAGATGGCAGTCACACGGGGCTACCGTCACATACAGACAGGAACACAAAGACCACCCCTGCATTCCCAGAAGTCCCTCACAGTTGCACAGAGAAGGCAGTCACATATGCAAAGACCATCACAGAGTCACTCCCTACTCCCTGTTGCTGTCTGTCTTACAGCATCAATCACCCAGAAGTCAGACACATGTGCACTCACTGCTACCCACACAGTTGTGTCACATACACCCTGAAGCTTACCTCATAGGCAATGGGAAGAACCAGACGATGCCAAGCAGTGAGGTACTCAGAGTCACCCATGCGGGGCCCATTCCAGGCCACGTTGACAGTGAAACCTGTGCCCGCAGCCCGGCCCACCTGGTTGCTGGCGCCCTCATCCCCCATGGGAAAAAAGGTGCCATGATCATAGCGGTGCAGGGAAATGTAGAGCACGCTGCCAGAGAGAGACAGGGTGGGGAGGGGAGTGATGACTGGTTAGCAGCCTGGCACCCTTGAAGCCTGGCCATCCACCTCCCTGGCCACACTCTACCCCCCGCCTTAGCCCCTCACCTGGGGTCCTCCTCAAATATGTGCTGAGTTCCATTGCCATGATGGACATCCCAGTCCACAATCAGGATCCTGGGGACGGATAGCTTCTCAGTTACCCAGGACACTGGCCCCTGGGAGAAGGCAGAGACTAGACCCCTGGGGCCTGTCTGCAGGGGCAAATATTGTGGGTGGCCGGACTATGGGTCCCTAGGGACAGTGTTGGGTAGCAAGCTTGAGGGTCCTATCAAAGTAAAGATGACAGCCAAGGCACTCAGGGCCAGACCCCAGGCACTGTGTGGATAATGGACCCTGGGTTCTGTTGGGAGAGTCATCAGGGACCAGAAATGCTGGGAGGGGACCCTGGATCCTGTTTCATAGCACCTGGGTACCACAATCTTGGGGTCTTCTCCGAGTAAGCACTGAGAGGCTAGATCCTTAGTCCTTTTCTGGGAAGTACTAGGCAAATGGACCCTTGGGTGTTTCTGGATAAGTCCTGGGAGCTGCACCATGGGGCCTGCTGAGTAAGCACTGAGCTGTGGGGGGGCCCAGGGAGCCCTCACCGCAGTGCATGCCCACTGATGGCCTGGGCATGGCGAGCAGCCACAGCCACAGAGTTGAAAAAGCAGAAACCGCAAGCAGCATCCTGCTCTGCGTGGTGTCCTGGAGGACGCACCATGGCAACACCATTCAAAACCTGGGGGGAGGAGCAGGGAGCCAAGATCAAACCACTGCCCTCACTATTTTCCTTATCCTTGTGCCCTTGCTTCTCCTCTTCCCCCTCCCACCCTTCCACCAGCTGCCAGGGGTGCCCAGCCCCGCAGCCCCATCTCCATGGCTACACTTCCCAGTGAGCAAGGCCTCTGGTGAGCAGGGGGTCTCTTCCTGAACACCATTACCTCAGGCCCTGCCCAGCTTTCTCAGAGTAGCCTCTCTTCATCCCCCAGAACCCCCTCGCTGAGCCAGAGCCTCACCCCAAAGCAGCCGTACCTCTCCCGCCAGCACGGCCTCCACAAGGCAGCATGTGGCACCAGTGGCCAGCTGTGCACAGGCGAAGGTGCTGGGACAGATGTAGATGGAGTCAAAGCTGGTGCTTTCGCGGTACAGCTCCCGGGTTTTCATTTTCTCTGTGGCCCGTAAACGACCTATGTACTCAGCACTGGATGCACAGAGAGGGCACTGGGGATAGCCAGGTGGTTCCATCCTCTCCATGGCCCCTCTTGTGACCCACCCCGCCAGCAGCCCTGTGTACCCAGGCTCCAGTCCCCAGGTGGTACGTGTGCACTGAGGCCCCATCCTACCCCCAGGAACAAGGGTCTGACCTGTGGCAGGTGAGCAGCTCAGTGTCTGTGGCAGGACGTGTGGGCAGGGTGAGACAGCGCCCAGAAAGGCCCAGCTCCTCCAGACGGCACATGATCCGTGAGACACGTTGGGGTACCTCTGGGTGGTGACTGGGAGATGGGGGACATAGAGGCAGGGCTTAGTGCTTGAAGAGAGAGAAAGACCCCTGCCCACTTAGCCCAGCTCTCCAACAGCATACTTGTCCCACAAGTTGTAGTGATCCATCATCCGTTGGTCATAGACCAGCCCTGTGCGAGCCTGCAACACTGGCCACATCAGGATTGGGGGAGCAGGGGGTGGCCATGGTCCTTCCTCTTCCTCCTCCTCATTGTCCCCCTCCACGCTGTCCCCCTCCAGGGTGTCACCTGCAAGGGGAGATCACATTCACCCTACTCCTCAACCCTGGATCACTGTAATACTCAGGACCTCAGTTTACCCAAACGTAAAAAGGAGTGGGAGGACCGAAACCAGGGCCCAGTGAGACAGAGAGAGGGCCTGACCCTTTCCCACCAAGGCAGCCCAGGAAAGTCAGAGTGGGTTCTAGAAGACAGTCTCCCCCCATGGTTCATTCTATCCCTGACCCGCCATTAAACCCACTTCCTGCCTCCTACCTGATCGCACAAGGATCTCCCAGAAGGGCTCCAGGGCTTCCAGAGTGCAGGACAGTGATGACTGGGCACTGGAGGGCAGGGAAGGGGAAAGTGTGACCAAATGGCCCCAAGGTGGTCAGTGAGGGTCCCACTTTCCCCTTCCACCACCTGGGCTCACCTCAGGCAGGGGGCACCAGGGGACTCCAGCATGGGGCAAGGGTCACCCAGAAGGGTGTGGATTGAGGCACTGACACCCTCAGCCAGGGAGCGCAGGTTATAGCCACCCTGGGGGAATAGGGTGAGGGGGGTTAGGAAAGAACCAGATGTTACCAGGGAAGAATAGCAGTAATATTACCTACCACTAGGGTGATGACTACATGTCAAGTAACAAGGAATTTAGGTGACTTGATTTTGCTCACTAAACAGTGCTATGACATGATTATTATTAGTATTATACAAGGAAGTTCAGTGACTTAGGTGAGGCTGTCCAGTTATGAAGCGGAAATGCTGGGACAGGAACTCCTGCTGAACTTGAAAGCTTTATTCTTATGTCCTCTAGGATTCATAGGCTCAGAGATGAAGTGAGTCACTCACCTCCAGAGACAGGATCAGCCTGCCTCCTGCCAGACCCATGAGTAGGTGGGTTAGCTGGGCAAACCCTGCTGGAGTGGCGGCCATCTCACCCTGGGGGGACACAGAAGGTCAGCCTGGCTCCATGTAGCCCCCTTCTGCCTACCTGCCACCCAGAGAGCCTGCCTTACCTTGGGGTCCCCTTGGAGGGCATCAAATCCAGCAGCCACCAGGACCAGCTGGGGCTGAAACTGAGAGAGGGAAAGAACTACATGAAGCCACCTGTCCTCATGGCCCACCCCTCACTGTCATCCTGCCCCAATACATCCCAGACCCCCAGGACCTCAAGTGCGACTGGCAGCAAGACTTGCAGGAAAGCGGCAATGTAGTCGGCATCTCGCATCCCCACCTGCAGAAAGAAGCACATGATGGTGAGATGAGGACATTCTGCCCTCTGCCTCGAACCACTGAAGGGCAGGGGAGAGCTTCACTCTGGGGGCAATGGGTAGGCAGACACTGACCTGGTTCCAAGGCACATTGATGGTGTATCCCTGGCCTTGGCCAAAACCTATGGTGGACCAGTTAGAGGCCTGCAGGTGGGGCCAGAACCGACCCTGCTCATAGCGGTGGATGGAAAAATAGAGCACACTAGGAGTAGAGAAAAAAAAAGAGATAAGGGGATTGAGGAGTCAATCCACCACATACCCCCAACCACAGCTACCATAGTTGCCTCAACCACTCATTCATTCTTCCCATTAAATCTTTAATTCATACATTCACTCTTTCATTTATTTACCCATTACCTCATTCATTTAATCTCTTTTTTTTATCCTCACCTGAGGACATTTTTTGCATTTATCTTCAGATAGAGTGGGAGGGAGGGAGAGAGAGAAACATCGATGTGAGAGACACATTGAGTGGTTGCCACCCACACGGCCTCAACCAAGGCTGGGGACAAACTGCAACTGAGATACGTGCGGGGACCGAACCCGGGACTCTCTGGTCCATGGGCCAACGCTCTAACCACTGAGCCAAACCAGCCAGGGCATTCATTTAATCTCTTATAGGAATTCCTCCCTTGGCAAACATTTTCTGCCCCCTCAGGTTTAGCTCTGAGACCCTGAGAGCTATCTCAGCCCCCAAGAGCTCCTGACACTGTGGGAACTCTAGATCATGCCCAACCATCTATCTGCCCCTGTGACCTAGGTAGTAACAGCAGGATTCAAATCCTGTGACTTTGGGAGGTCCACAGGGGACATGGGGCTTTATGTTAGTCGGAACCAGCTAAGGCGACCAAGAGCATCAGACCAGGCTGGGGAGCTAACTGTTTCTCCTGGAGACAAAGTGGGAGACTCGGAAGTTAGGGTTAGGAGGTGGTTCTATGTGTGGAGCTGGAGTAGGGGTGCTTGCTAGGGCTCCATGAGGCCAGTGAGGGGACAATTCTTTCTTCCCGATGCCTCACAGGCCACCTCTAGTACTTCTTTTATCATACAGGTGAGAAACAGAGCACTCAGAGCAGTGAGGGGGATTGACACACAGAACAGAAAGCCTGGGAGCAGGCTGTGGAGGACTTAATCCTGACTGAGGCAATCCAAATAAACAATCTCTCATCCATCCATCTAACAGTTCATCGCTCCCTGCCTTACTCCAGGAAGGATTTAAGGCAGCTTTTTCCCCTCTTTTTTTAGGGAAATGCATGAAATGGTGGTAAGCAATTAAACTAGGCAAACTTGACAGTCCCATTTTAATAAATGTTAATAATGTAGTTGTAAATTTTAATAAAATCGATATAAAAAGATTTATGAAATTGAAGAAAATATTTTGGGATTAGGGAATGAAACTCGTGAAAGCTCTGGTATTGAGTAGGTAGGAAATAATTGTTTTTCTTTTTTTTACGCTAATAAATACCAGTTCTAAACTTTTTTGTTGTTGTTGTTATCCTCACCCGAGGACATTTTTCCATTTTTTGTTCAGGTAGAGTGGGAGGGAGAGAGAGGAACAGAGAGAGAGAGAAACATCAACGTGAAAAGGACACATCGAGTGGCTACCACCTGCACGACCAACCAGGGCTGGGGACAAACTGCAACCAAGGTACGCACCCTTAGCAGGAACCGAACCCAGGTCTCTCGAGACCGCAGGCCAATGTTCTAACCACTGAGCCAAACCAGCCAGGGCCCAGTTCTAAACTTTTTATTTTACTAAGTTAGCCATTAAAGGAAGAGAAAGAAATACACCATAGAACATCAAGATTATCAAGGAAAAGAAATAATTAAAGAAAATATTTGAAGAAAGCCAATCCCACAAGAGAGCCACTGGAATCAACAGAACTAATACCCAGGAAACTAAGCTTATAAAGCAAACAGAAGATTTTAAAATAAGGTTGACTGACCCTGGCAGGGTAGCTCAGTTGGTTAGAGCATCATCCTGATACGCCAAGGTTGTGGGTTCAATCCCCAGTTGGGGCACATACAAGAATGAACCAATGGCCCTGGCTTGTGTGGTTCAGTGGTTAGAGCATCAACCCATGCACCACAGGGTCGCAGGTTTGATTCCCAGTCAAAGGCACATGACTGGATTGCATGTTCGATCCCCGGCCCATGCAGGAGACAACAGATCAACCTCTCTCTCTCTCCTTCCCCTTCCTCCCTTCTACTCTGTCTAAAAATCAACAGAAAAATATCCTCAGTGAGGATTAACAACAATAAAAAGAATCAACCAATGAATGCATAAATAAGTGGAACAACAAACTGATGTCTTTTTCCCTCCCCCACTCTCTCTTTCAAATCAATAAATTAATTAATTAAATAAAATCAGGTCGACTGACTTCCAGTGAAGGAATGATGGACTGATAGTACAGGTTTACCTCCCCACTCTCCTACAATCCGAGTCAAAAAACATTAAAGGAATGTTAAACAAGTATCCATCAAGAAGGACAGAATAGGAGAAAGGATTCAGACAATAAGAGACTTCAACAAATCCCTGGAAAGTACTTTGAGGCGCTGGGGGCCTGAGGGGATGCCCTGGGGTTTCCCTTCTGGAGAAATCAAGCACAGTTCCAGGTCACTGCACACAAAATCAGTCCTGAATAACCAGCTCAGTGAAAGATCCAATTCACTAAATTTACTTCTTTCTCTTTACTACTTAGCTTTAATTTTCCTGTTTTACTTGTCTTCATAATAGTCTTTTAAGGACTGTCTAACTTGTCTCCACCCCAAAACCTTGCTGTTGTTAAGAGACAGAGAGATGGGGAGCAGAGAGATTGAGAGGCATGGATAAATTCTTTTTCATTTATACAAACAAGATTACTCAGGAAGGAATGAAAATCAGACTGACATCAGACATCTGTCAGCAACACTGAATGATAGAAAATAATAAAGCAATGTCTAGAGAACAGCCAACCTAAATTAGATAATGGGCCATGGGAGCTCAGGATCCATGGGAGGAAAAAGTGGATTCTACAGAGTCTGTTCAATAGAAGGCTGGATAAACAACTACTTAGTAGTGTCCCCTACCGAGAAGGACTAGCTCAATCGCTTTCTGCTGGAAGGGTAAGCTGGTGCCCTTTCTGGAAGAAGATCTGGTAGTAGATCCCAGACTTTAAAGCATGCCAACCCTCTGACCCAGTAATCCACGATTGGAAATTCATCCAGTAGACATACTCAGAGAAGTGTAAAATTATAAATTTATCAGACTATTCAAGTGTAAAATTATAAATTTATCAGACTATTCACTGTACAATTGTCTGTAATAGCAAAAAACGGGAAGCATCATAAATGTGCCAGAATTAAATGACAAGAGATAAAGCCATACAATGGAATGTTATACAGTCCTTACAAATGAGGTACTTTTTAGAGGTACTAACATGGAGCAGTCCCTACCACATGCTGTTAAATGCAAAAAGCAAGTTGCCACAGACCACGTAGAGGATTATCCCATTAGGCAGTGTGTTAATGATAATGAATATTCACACATCTATAGGAAAAATTTTGCAAGGATATAACCTAAACTATCAACAGGTTTTTTATTAGGGTTATAATGCACTGCTCGGCCGGTGTGGCTCAGTGGTTGAGCGTTGACCTATGTACCAAGAGGTCGCCGGTTTGATTCCCAGTCAGGGCACATGCCCAGGTTGTGGGTCAAATCCTCAGTGAGGAGCATGGGGGAGGCAGCCAATTGATGTTCTCTCTCATTGATGTTTGTATCTCTCCCTCTCCCTTCCTCTCACTAAAATCAAGAAAGAAAAATAAATAAATAAAAAGATAAAGTTGTAATGCATTACTGAGTGCTTTCTGCTCTTTTGAAAGAACCAGGCATCTTTAAATATGGTAGGTTTTGCCTGGCTAGTGTGGCTCAGGGGTTGAGTGTTGACCCATGCACCAAGAGGTCACCGGTTCAATTCCTGGTCAGGGCGCATGCCCAGGTTGTGGGCTCGATCCTCAGTGGGGGGTATGCAGAGGGTGGCCAATCGATGTTCTCTCTCATCAATGTTTCTATCCCTCTTTCCCTCTCCTTTCCTCTGTCTCTGAAATCAATAAAGAAAAAAAAAGGTTTTTGAAAAATATGGTGGTTTTTTAAAATTGATTTTAGAGAGAGAGAAAGATAGAAACATTGATGAAAGAGAAACATCAACATCGATTGGCTGCCTCCTGCATACCCCCTGCTGGGGATTGAACAACCTGGCCATGTGCCCTGACCAGGAATCAAACCCACGACCCTTCTGTGAACAGATTGATGCTCCAACCAATTGAGCTGCACAGGCCAGGGCTTATTTATTTTTATTGTTTTTGTAGAGAGAGAGGAAGGGAGAGAGAGATAGAAATATCGATGGAAGAGAGCTACATCGATCGGCGGCTTCCTGCATGCCCCCTAGTGGGTACTGAGCCCGCAACCCGGGCATGTGCCGTGACCCGAAATCCAACTAGGACTTCTGAGTCCATGGGACAATGCTCAATCCAGTGAGCCACACCAGCCAGGCTAATTTTTTAAATAAATAATTGGTAGTAATCATAATTAGAAAAAATAAAGTAGTAATTTGAAGTTCACGCCAGCTCCAGTGTAAACTGGTGAACAAGATCTCCAAATATTTGTGGACGTAAATCTCATCTCTTCCCATTCTGCTGTGTGTGATCTTGTAACCTGTAAGTCTCAGTTCCCTCATCTATAAAATGGGGAACTCAACATCCCTGCTTCAGAGTGAAATTAAGAGAGCAGCACAGAACCTGGTCCCAGGGCAGGCCCAATAACATAATGTGAATGCCTTCCCTTCCCTCTTGGGCTTCTTCTGGCTGGGCCTCTAAGGGTAGGGGGTGGCTGGAAGTCTAGCATCTGGGATGGCATTTGGGGCATACCTGGGGTCCTGGTCAAAGGTGAACTGTGTTCCTTGACCATGGTGCACATCCCAATCCACAATAAGGACCCTGTGAACAGAAGAGAGGGGAGCACTGTATAAGAGAATCCAAGTGCATCTGGGGGAAGTGCCCAGAACAGGCTACTCCACCCTGTGCCACCCCCATCACATTTGCCCTGCTGCTTGCTGCTAACCTCTGAATGCCATGCTTCTGTTGAGCATAGCGAGCAGCCACGGCCACATGGTTGAACATGCAATATCCATCCATAAGACTGTGCTGGGCGTGGTGTCCAGGAGGCCTGGGCAGGATAGGGAAAGCCACAGATTGGGGGTTCCTCCTCTGCAGAGACGGACTCTCCCTTGTTCTAATCCTGGACCACCAAATCCCGCCGTGCTGATGCCTGACAGTCTGCCAGGAATTGAGTAACTGGGACCCTCAGACTCTCAACCCCAGTCTACTGCTCTCTCTTTGAAAGAAACTTGACGTTCCTGAAAATTATCAATGCATACACCCTCACACCCAGTCATTTTGCTCCTGGGGACTTAGCCAAGTCTATATAACAAAAAGGGTAAAATAACATGTTTATAAATGGACAACAATATTTACTGCAACATTTTTTGGAAACAGTAAATGATTGGGGAGAACCAAAACACCCACCATGAGGGAGCTGGATAATTTACTGTACACTTGCACAGTGGCATTCTACAGAGAAGAGCTTTCCGAGATACCTAAGTGGAAAATGCATGGTATGGAAGGGAGCGTCTTGAATGCTGGAGTGCTCCCTTAAAATAGGGGAGGGAGGAGAAAGGCTCTATCTTCTGCATTTCATCAGTTCTAGGATGCCAACAATGATAAGATGTACTGTGATTTTACATGCCAACAACAAAGCAGAAAATGCTGCCAACTGAATTCTGAAATGTCACTGTTTATAAGATGCATCTGAATTTCAAGATGTTACCAATATGAAAAATATGCATCTTAGAATCAACGAAATATGGTATTTATTCCATGAATAGGCACAGACTATTTCTGGAGGACACATGAGTTACTGGTTACAGTGACTACCTCCAGGAGAAGAAGCAGGTGTCTGGGGGTGGGAGTTGGGAGGGAGATCTTTTCTTGTACCTCCTTTTGTATCTTAAGTATGTAAATATACTACCCATTACCAATATACTAGCCATTATCAATACAGTTTACATTTGAGGGAAGAAATTTTTATTTTTATTCTTTGAGAGAAGAAATTTTTAAAAGGTACAAAGCCAAATGCTGGCTGGTCCTACCTGATGATGGCCATGCCATTCCGGATCTCGGCCCCCAGGACCGCATCCACAAGCCTGAGGACAGAGCCTGAGGCCAGGCAGGCACAGGTGTATGAGTTCTGGAGAGACAGTGGGGAACCAGAAAGAGAGTGAGGGAGAGAGGAGCCCTATCCACTCAGTTGCTTTCCCCAGGGTAGGGTAGGTGTGGAGATTGGCATTTGCAGGATTGCTACCATCCTCTGCCCTCACAGTTCTCATCCATACCGGATGCAGATAAACTGAGTCGTAGGTGTCTGCTAGGATGCGGAGTTCTCCCTCATTCATGTATTGGGTCGTCTCCATCAGATCTATGTATTCTAGGCTGGGGACACAGACAGGGGATGAGATTCAGGGCCCTACCTCCCTCCTTGGCCCTGAGCCAGGGCCCTGTCCCCTCCCCAGCATCAGACCCCTGGACAAGTCAGACCTCCTCAACCATCAATCTGGAGTAACAGCTGAGATATAGGTCACATTCCCTGCTTCTTCCCTAGCCTGCCACATTTCTAGTAATATCTCTTGCCTTTTGCTCTAGCTACACCAAATCCTACTGCTAGGCCTTTGGCCAGAATGTTGCAACTGTCTGTACCTCCCTTCTCTTAAAGCTCAGCTCAGATACCCCCTCTGCCAAGCTACTTTCCTTGGGCAACACCATACCAGGTCCCTTACTCTGGATGCCTACAGCCCCCTGGTCACTCTGTCCACACATCCACAAGCTGTTCATATACCAGATTGTAATAAGAACAATAGTTCGTCAGGCTGATGATATGTCAGACACCATTCTAAGCACACAACATATATCAAACCCTCCTGAGGAACTTGTGTTTACTAGTACCCCAGTTACAGATGACACTGAGATTCACAGAGGCTCAGCAACTTGCCCAAGGCCACAGAGCCCATGATATTCCTTCCCAAAGCATCCAGTCTGCCCTGGTGGGCCCAGGGTAACCTCCTCCCCATCCCTACAAGGTTATCAAAACTTCACCTGTGAACCAACATCAGCTCCTCCTTTTCAGCAAACCGGGCCTGCGAAAATACAAGGAATAAAGGGCTAAGGTGCTGGCTACACCCAGGTCCTGCCAGCTCCTGCCCACTACCCAAGGTGCCAGCTGGGGAACTCACCTGAAAGGACACACAGCGGTCCAGGAGGCCCTCCTGGATTAGCTGCTCCTTGATGGCATGGAGCCGCTCAGGGCCTTCAGGGAAGCTGGGTTGACAGAGATATAGTCACATGCACACACAGATATATACAGGGACATTGGTGAGCTACACATCCGGTCCTGAACTCTTTTCCATCCACCCTTGCATAGCTGCATATACCAGAAGCTTCGAAGTCACCCCTGATGCCTTATTGGCTCCGTTCTCATAATATATCCAGAGTCTGCCTCTTTCCTCATCACCTCCACTGCTGCTACATACCCACCTAGGCTACTGCAGTGAGCTCCTCACTGGCCCTCCTCACTGCCCTCACCCCCCCCCCCCAACAATCCTTTCTTCACACAGTAGCCAGACATTGGTTAAAATCCAAATCAAATCACGTCCCACCTAAGCTCAAAACCTTCTCATGGCTGCCGTGTCATCAAGCCAAGTACTTTTCAGCTAGCTCTCCCCCTGCCTAGACACTCTGCTCCCAGATATCTTCATGGCTCACTCCCTCATCTCCTTCAGATGCCTGCTCCAATATGAGCGAGGCCTTCCCTGACCATCCTATTCAAAACTGAAGAGTTCCCTCCACTACTCTTTTGGCTACTCTCCTTCCCAAGTCAGTGTTTCTCCATAGCACTTCTGTTTCTAACACACTGTATCATTTATTTTTTGTTTGTTTACTATCCGTTCCCCCCCAAAAAAATTGTAATATCCAGAAAGATAGGGGTTTGTTTGTTTTGTCTACTACCATGTCCCTAAAGTTTTTTGACATTCTGAGTCTTCTACTGGGGGAGGGGAGATAGATACTGAACTGGTAAACACACTGAGTATAATGAGCAAACAATGACATGGGCTATGAACACCTCAAAGATCAAGTGTATGGGGGAAGGGAGCGGCCAGGCATAGCCCTCTCTGAGAGAATCTTCTTTTTTTAAATTATTTTTGTTACAGATGTTTGTCCTTTTTTCCCCATTGACACCCTCCTCCCAGAGAATCTTCTTGAGATACAAATGTTAACTGGGAGAAGAGAAGGTGAAAATGAATCTCTGGAAGAGGGATTGGCCAGGGCAAAGACCCAAGATGAGGGAGTGCCTGGCATGTTGGAAGAACAGCAAGGGGACCAGTGTGGGTGAAGTGAAGTGAAACGAATGAGAAGAAGATTGGCTGATGAGGTCACCAAAGTGATATGGAGCCAGATCACGTGGAATCCAAGAGGCCAAAAGGAAGAATTTGAACTTTACCTTCAAGGCAGAGGTCTGTCTTTGAAATATTTTTAAGAGAACATCACCTCATACATATGTTTTAGGCGGCTATGTGGAAAACAGACAGCAGGAGTGAGAGTAGAAACAAGGAACAAGTGAGGGGGCCTCTACAAGTTTAGGTGAGTGATGATGGTGGTGGCAGGCAAGGCAATGAAGAGAGGTCATATACTGAATACATTTCAAACACAGAGCTAAAAGAATTTGCTGATGGACTACAACCTGTGCGAGCAAATGGGCGATGTAACTCTTCCATTTCAGCACAAATGTCCCTTCTTCAAGCACACCTTCTGGGAACCTTGGATGCTAGTCTAGAGTCCTCTATTAAACACTTTTGAAGCCCCTGGTCTGAAGTCTTCCTATTTTAAACACTTCACACTGCTGTTGGCTGTTTAACAATCCTCTGTCCTAATCACCTATCAGCTCCTTGAAAAGGGAGCCTGTCTGTCTTGTCCAACACATTTGTATCACCAACTTCTGGCACACAGTAGGCACTCAATAAATGTTTGCTGGCTAAATGAAAAGAACCCTTTCAAGCCTGAGTCCCACCTCCTTAAGTCATCTGCTTCCCCACTCTAGGCTAGTTCAAGAAAGGGTTTGTTCTTGCTAATGGCTGTAAATGTGCATATTTGTGTGGTTTGGGAGAGCTGGAGGAGTCAGCCTCACCTGTCATCCCAGAGGCAGTGGAAGTCATTTAGCTGTTCATCAAACACCAAGCCAGTACCAGATAGTGTCTTTACCTCAAGGTTCAAATCCTGCAGGGAAAAAAATGGTAGATACTGACCCATTTAGGGCCTGAGTTGGAGGTAACATCCCATACTATCCAGGATGAAGAACCTCAGGGTTGTGATGGTCATAGGAGGCTAAATTATGGCCAGGCCTCACTCACCAGCCCTTGCAGCCCCACAACTAGGTCTTGCTCTGCTGCGTGGCCAAGCTTCTTCATTCTGCCTTTCTTCTTTACCTCCGCTAGTTTGGGGCTGGAGCGGAGTCCTGCACCCTTCTTAACACCTGGTTTCTGCCAAAGAAGAGAGAAAGGTCAGAGTCCACTGCACGGCCCACTGCTCCCCTTCCTCCTCATCTGGACAGTCTGGGGCCTCACCGAGACGATGCTGGAGTCCTGGGGGGGAGATTGGGGGGTGTGTCTACTCCTTCGATGCCTGGTTGTGGTGGAATCCTGGCCGGTGGAGGTCATGGTTGGGGAGATTTCACCCCTGACGCGGTTCTGGGGGGTGTGGTGGAGGTGACTGAAGGGGCTAGGGTGTCCTGAGGACCCCACATCCCAGCCTCTTCCCAGGCCTCGCCCCTTATGGTAGCCTATCTCCCATAGCCTTCTAAAACTCCCTCTCTCTCAAGGTTCTCTCCCTCCACTGGGGTGTCCATTCCACCTGGTCCCGCCATTTCACTAGACTCCACCCCTTTAACACTATTCTTTCTGCTTTCAAAGTTTTGCCCTTTCAAAGAGCAATTAACCCCCCAGACTCAGTCCATTCTAGGGCGTGATCTTCCCAACAAGTCACCGCCCCTTCCGCTCTACCAAGTCCCAGTCCCAGATCCTTCCCTTCCTCTCAGCCTCGCCCAGACCCCACATCTTAACAGAATTGCCCTTTCCACCCAATCTCCCGGGATAATCACCCACCCTTTCACTCGGCCAGCCCCAGCCCCGGCCCCGACCCGACTCCACCCTTAACGATCCACTTAACTCCACCCCTTATCCGCCGACCGGCACCTTCCACTAGGCCAGATTCCGCCCCTAACGTTTCAACAAGCACCGCTCCTCAGGGGACAGCCCCTTTCCTTCCACCAAACCCCACCCCCTGCCCAAACGCTACCCCTGACGTTTTTCCGAGCCCCTTCAGCCAGTTTCGAGTCACCGCCCTCCAGCCCCCGCCCCCTCCATCGACGCCAACCAATCTTTTCAGCCCCACTCGCTAGGCGCAGCACCGCTCTTTTCTCAAACTCCGCCCAGGGCTAAGCACCGCTCAATTCCCGACGACCTGTAAGCCTGCGGTTGCCCAAGGCCCGCTTTTCCATTGGGCTGGTTCTCTCTACTGACCGCCCAGATCCCGCCCACACCAGCGATCTTGCCATCGGGCCACGCTCCGTGTGAGAGCTACACCTCCTCCGGGAGCTCACCAACGGCCGCTTTGTACGTCAGTACGCGACGCGGGCCGTGCTGCGCCTGCGCAAAGTGCTTGCCCGCGGTTCGCCTGGGCTCTTAGGCTCGAATTCGCCCCTCCCCCAACCTCCTCCGCTTTCCTCCCAGCTGCCCTGGCCGCCATCCTTCTGTTCTCATCCAGTCACCTTAGGAGCCCTCCGGACCCACGACAACTGTGCCTTGCGGCGACTCAAGAGAGAAAGCAAGCAATCAAGCCAACGAGGGAGTTAGGAAAAGGCGTCTCCTCTCCTTCTCGCGGCTTTCCCGCGCTGCGCGCGGTGATGACGTAGCTCGGGCGGGATGGAGCCCGGTTGAAACTGGAAGATGGCTGGTGGCAGCCAAATGGGAGTGGTGATGATGCTAAATGTGAAGATTTTCAGAATTAATGTTCACGAAGGTGTGTCGTGAGCAAGGGAGCATGCCCGAAAGGAATCACACATGATTGTGTCTTTACATAATGCCAGGTTTCGGTTTATTGGGCTCCCCAATAAATAAGCCAGTAGGTTTACACTAAGCAGGTTACACGCAGAAGGGGGGAGCTTAAGCAATAGTGCAGCAGAGCAAGCCCGACGAAGCCCCAATCCCTGGCGGCCTCCACAGATAGAGAGGCGTACGTTGGTATCAAGCCAGGCGGCTACAGTGGCTGCACGCATCTGGGGGGGTGGAAGTCCTGTTGGGCTCCTAGCGTGACCCGTGGTACAGCCAAGCTGGTGCGCGGAAAGGTCGAAGCTTTGGGTTCTTATAGCCCGCAATGGGCGGCGGTCCCACTCATATCGGTGTGGAGATGGAGTCCTTATCAGAGAGTTCAGACTTGCAGTTTTGCGGTCCCATCCCAAGGGCATTCCATTACACCCCATTACCTCAGTCTTGGGCATATTGCCACTTGACATAGCTGTCATGACTGACAGAGACTTCACATTGGGTTGTCAAAAGTTGTCCAAAAAGTCTGCTCTGCTCTTGCTGTATACAAGGTGGTACACAGGAAGCACTCACTCAGTGTCACTAATATTTTGCTGTGGAAATGGATGGTGGGGCGGAAGGAGTCTTAATAGGGGCAAATAGCCCTGGCCGGTTTGGCTCAACAGTTGGAGCGGTTGGAGCGTCGGCCTGCGGACCAGAGTCTCGGGTTCGGTTCCCACTAGGGGCATGTACCAAAAAGGGGAGGGGGGAATAACTGTAATGATAGCAAATATTATATGTCAGGCATTGTTGTAAGCCACAATTCTGTGAGGTAGTTCCCATTATTAAGGCTGCTTTGCAGATAAGGAAACTGAGGTTACATGACTTAGCCATGTGACCTTGGACAAGTTACTGAACATATCCATGCTTCAGTTTCCTCATCTGGAAAATTGTGATAAAATAGTGCCCAGGCCAGAATGTACTGGGGAGGGGAGTTTTTCTTGAGCAGCAGCTCTCCCTGTCATCCTTCACCTAGTAACCTCTGCTTCCAAGTATGTGCATGGAGGCAGTGGGGGAGTTGCTCCCTTGCGGAATAGGGGTGAAGGTGGGGGTGGGGGAAGGAGACAATTCTCTCCCACCCCAGGTCTAAATAGCCCCGCAGGAGGCGGGTTTGTCCTCCTAATCTCCCTTTCTCATTCTTCACCATTTCCTACTGGGCTGTAGGCTGGGGCCGGAAAGATAAGCGGTCTGGGGTTCAGCATCGCTGACTAACAAACAGATTGACAGCCCCACCACCCACTAGCCTGGCCCTCTGACCCTCTTGGAAACCCTAGTTTCCGCCTTCTCTTCCCTTCCACTCTTTTCCTGCCTGAATAAGTCTTGTCCCAGTGGAAGAGCGTCACAGCCCTAAGACCTTTAAACCTCCACATACACCAAAGAAAACACAGTGATACACACTGTCTGGAGTTGTGATGCTTGCAAAGTAATAGAGCAAAGTAATAGAGTAGGGAGTCTTGTAAGGGTCAAGGCCCACTTTTCTGTATAGTCAGAAGAGAACAGAGGTTGGGAAACTTCTTTTTTTTTTTAATCCTCACCGAGGACATTTTTCTATTTTTTTGTTCAGATAGCGTAGGAGGGAGAGAGAGAGAGAGAGAAACATCGACGTGAAAGGGACCCAACCAGGGCCAGGGACAAACTGCAACCGAGGTACATGCCCCTAGCGGGAACTGAACCTGGCTCTCTCTGGACTGCAGGCCGACGCTCTAACCGCTGAGCCAAACTGGCCAAGGTGGGAAACTTTTTCTATGAAGGACTAGATAGTAAATATTTTAGGCTTCGTAGGCCACATATAGCCTCTGGTATATTCTTCTTTCTTTCTTTCCCTTTAAAAATGTAAAAACTAGCCCTGGCCGGTTTGGCTCAGCAGTTACAACATGGGTCTGCGGTCCTGAGAGACCCGGGTTCAGTTCCCGCGAGGGGCATGTACCTCGGTTGCAATTTGTCCCCGGCCCTGGTTGGGTCGTGCGGGTCGCAGCCACTCGATGTATCCCTTTCAGTCAATGTTTCTCTCTCTTCCTCTCTCTCTCGCCCACTCTATCTGAACAAAAAAATGGAAACATGTCCTTGGGTGAGGAGAAAAAAAAAAAGCTAAAAATGTAAAAACTAGCTGCAGCCTGGTTTTGGCCTGGAGGCCATAGTTTGCTGATCCCTGCAATAGAGTGTCAGTCTTTGGTTTCCTTTATCTGGCTGGTATCCTTTTACAGGATAAGTGCAGAAGTTCCATGCTTCCTGAGGAGAGGTATTCCTTTTGTGTGAAGTGTGAGGAATATTCATGGACAGGGTCCCGGCACTTCTGGTGTTTTTCTACTGGGTCAAGCAAATGTCCCTGTACAGAGTGAGGATAGGGATTCCTATAGTTTCTATAGTGTTGTTTTTCCACTGAACCAAGCAGGGGTTTGTATACAGGCCAAGACGATTGTTTTTAAAGAGCTCCAGACTAGGGGTTCCCATAAAGTTCAGGATAGGGATTCTTAGACTGCATTATGACAGGTTCCTACAAAGAGATCAGGTGGTCCAGTTCAGGCTCAATACAGATGTTTCTGTACAGGTTCAGAGCTGTGTTTATATAGACAGGATCTTTATTCATGTCCAGATTCAGTCAAAAGATTTAAAAAAATTTTTTTTCTTTTATTGATTTTAGAGAGAGAAGAAGGGAGAGGGAAAGAGAGAGAGAAACATCAATGAGAGTGAACATCGGTTGGCCGCCTCCTGCATGCCCCCCACTGGGGATTTGGCCCACAACCTGGGCATGTGCCCTGACTGGGAATCGAACCGGCGACCTCTTGGTGCATGGGTCGATGCTCAATCACTGAGCCACACCAGCCGGGCCAAAATATTATTATTAATAGAGCTAAATTAGGCTAGCTGTTGTAACGAACAAACCCAGAATTTCAGGGACTTAACAAATAAATGTGTATTCTTGCTCATACAAAATCCAGTGTGAATATTTACTACTTGTTATTCATGGACCCAGGCAACTTCCATTTTGTGGCTCTGCTCTTTTCTGAGTCCTTGGAGTTCTCACTATTCAGCTGGTAGGTGGGGAAAGAGAGAGGGAGGATTCCATAAGAGGTTTTTATGGGCCAGTCCTGGAAGTCGTGTATGTCACTCTGCACAGACTCCATTGATCAGAACTCTGTCACATGTCCACATCTAATTGTAAGGGAGTCTGGAAGAGTGAGTGAACTCAGGAAGAAAGAGAACAGGTTTGAAAAGCCTATAGCATTGCCTGCTACAGAATTCTGTAGACTCCACAGAGCTATGCTGTTTAATGTGTAGCCACTAGCCAGTCAGGACAGTGGTTCCCATACCAAGTGAGGGTAAGGCTTCCAGAACAAGGCTAGGGCAAGGGTTGTTGGAGAGAGAGTCGCATCAGGGCTTCCTATACAGGGTCAGGAGAGTGTTTCCAGAGGGCAAGGTTAGGAATTCCTATAAAGGATCAGGCCAGAGATTCCTGTAAACTAGTCAAGTTAAGGATTTGCATTGAAAGTCAGATAAAGATTTTCTTCAGAGTCTGGTTATAGGTTCCAGCACTGTTATAGGCAAGGCTTCCTGTAGAGGGCAAGGGCCATGGAACCAACACAAGGTGAGCACAGGAAACCCTGAGCAGGGGAGTCCTGTGCCAGGGAAGGCTGTAGGTGCCTGTATAGGATGCAGTCTGGGCTTAAAGTAGAGGGTCAGGACAGGTGCCCTGCCACAGGTTCAGGAAAGGATGTTCTATGTAAGTTCAAGATTGAGGTTCACGTTGAGAGTTGGATCACGGGTTCCTATGGACTCTGGGGTAGGGTGTGAGGAAGGGATTGTTGTGTAGAGTGACATTGGGGGTCATTGTCAACAATGAAAGCAAGGTTCCTGAACTCAACCAGTGTTCCTAAAGAGTTTGCAGATGAGATTTCTGCAAACAGAATCAGGTCAGTAGTTCAGAACTAGATTTTATTATGAGTGAAGTGTTTTTAAAATGCTACCCGGACGGCAGGGCTCCAGTATAGTGTGAGGACAGAGGTGTCCTGTCCAAGGTCAAGGCAGGATTCCTATAGAGATATTGAGGCTCGTGAAGAGGGTCAGAACAGTCGTTTCTATAAGGGGTGGTGCAGGTGCTTCCTTACAGTATGGGTTCAGAGATTTCTAACCAAGGTAAGGCAGAGGTTCCCGTGCTATGGCAGGATAGGGGTGTCTCCTGTACAAGGTGAAGACTGGTGTTCCTGTCTAGGATCAGGCTGGATTTTCTGTTGATAATTAGAGAAAGGGCTCCCTTAGAGTTCCAGAGCTAGGTTTCTGTGCCAGGCTAGGGCTGCTGTTTTTATAGGGGTTGAGGACCCGGGGATCCTGAACGAGGTGGTTCGAGGCACACTTCCAGCACAGGTTCTGAAAGAGGCTTCTGTTCAAGATGAGGACAGGGGCTCCTACAGGCTGAGAGGGCTGGGGTACTGTGGAGCACCCAGGGACAATCCCTGTAATGAGAATGTACTACTGTGATTCTGCATTGGGCTAGTGTGGTGACTAGCTGAAGGGATGCTGTTCTGTTGGGGACAGCTGCTTGCCCATACTATGTTCAGGATATATGATTTCACAATCCTCATCTCTGGGGCTCAAGGGGAGAAGCCATAAAGAGAAGCAGTCCAAAAGCAAATCCAGATTTGAGTGAATTGAAGATTGAGTGATTTTTTAAAAGAGAGAAAAGCAGCCCAAATAAATGTGAGCAAGAATCATTTTGGCGGGGGTTGGCCCAATCCACTCCTTAAACTCAACATGGTCAGGGCAAGTTACTCATTAGTTCTGAGCCTCACCTTTTCATTAACAAAATGAGTATGAGTGTACTTTTTTTGGAGTATTTTTTTTCAGATGTTCATGAACTAAAGCAACTTCCAGCCATTGTTGACCACAGTGAGCACTCAGGAAATGGTGCTAATTGTTGTTAGGACCCTCTGGGTACTGAGGAAGCTAAGCCATGGAGCCTGGCCCAGCCCTGTGCCACCAGCTGTGTGGCCTTGGGAGAGCCGCTTAACCTGTCTGGCTCATGTGACCTGACTCAGTGTATGCTCCTATGTGAGGGTTTATTCAATGGAAGAGCAAATTCCACTTTAGGGGGAGCAATTCACCCAGGTGAGTAGGTGTGTTGGGGAGGAAGTTGGCACTGTGGTGAGCAACCCCAACTATGGGGCCTAAATATCCCCCCTAGAGGCTATTTTGTCCTCCTAATCTCCCCCTCTCCTTCTCTACCATTTCCCACAGGGCTGCAGGCGGAGCTGGGCTGAGAGAGATAAAAGATGAGTGACAGGAGGTCCCATGGACAGCCCCACGGTCCTGGACTGGCCTTCTGACCTTGCTGGCTGCCATTCTAGTCCCACTTTTTCCTCCCATTTTTGTCCTGGACGTGTCTTCTGTCCCTTGGAAGGGGGTCCCTAACTTACACTGACTGAAACTATATATATTGATACTTCCACAAATAAGTGTACAGAGAGCTGCTCACATTGTCAGCCACTCAGAGACACTGTGACATGGCACATAATATGTGATACGCTCACATACACAGACTTGCACAGAAGTACTGCCCTTACCAGACCCCCAAAGACATCCTGACACGTAGTACCTCATGGTCACACTGTTATGTCTCCACACACCATCATACACAGTCCTTGTTCAACATTCCAAAAATGTTTATTGATCAAATGCTGTACTCAGTACACATGCTGTCATACCATCTCAAAACCACCCTGTGTGATGCACAACCACACAAGCACAACCTCACACATTTCCTCAGCACACCCTGTTACACACTTACTTCCACATTCTCTCACACAGTTGCCCGTGCCCTGTTTCTCACAGTTACCTGGTGTCACACACACCATCTCTCCCAACCTCACCCCCGTGGTTACCACCTCACAGAGCAATCAGCCTGTCTCCCCCCATGATGTATGGATCCACATGTCCACATGCCATATCATACAACCTGGATGCTGTCACACGCGGTCTCATATACGCTGTTATAACTGCACATCAAAATCCACTATCATGAAGGGTCACACAGCCTCACATCATCATCAAAGAATCACAGACACCGTTCCACACCCCACCTACGATGACTCTTTATTCAGTCCCACACAGATTCATACCTCCAATTTCAGGACTTTGGTGGTTTTATTTTACAAAAGCTTTGAAGGTTCAGACCAAGGGGTGTCTGGGGCCCAGAGGGCTGGGTTGTACAGACTGCTGGCTACAAGAGGAGAGGGACCCTACCCCTGCTCTGAGGCCATGCTCTGTGTCCTCATGAGCTGAGTGGTGCCACCACCGTGGTGGTGGTGGTGGGAGGCATGGGGCCTGTGGGGAAGGAGCCTGTGGGTGAACCCAACAGGGGCCCTGGGAAAGGCATGAGGTGGCTGACAGGCCCTGATAGCACCACAGGGCCCAGGCCTTGGTAGAGATGGGCAGTACCAGGTGGGCCTAATGTCAAGCCTGAGGCGACTTCCCCACAATTCCCACTACCACTGCCCCCAGCCACCACCATGAAGCCACCAGCTGGTCCTTCAGCTGTTCCTGTACCTCCCAGACTCGACCCTCGTTTCTTTTTCCCTTTTCCAGATGCCTTGCGGTTTCTAGTCTGAATACCATCCTTCCGCATGGTCAGTGGTCGGTTCACCTGACAAAAGGGAGACCATGAGTATTTCCCAACTTCAGACCTTTGCCTCTATGTCTCTACCAGGGATACCCTTTCCACCCTACTCCTTAAGAATAGGGAATTCACCCAGAGACGTGGAAGTAGGGTACAGACTGAAAACCCTCACAAGAGGGATTGGAGGGGAAGAGATGAACACAGAACTTATATGTATGTACGCATAACCGATGGACATGGACAACAAAGCTGGGGATGGAGTGGGGGGATGGGGAGGAGGGTGTCAATGGGGGAAAAAGGAGAAACCTGTTAAAAAATAAATAAATAAAGAAAGAAAGAAAAGGGAATTGGGTCAAGGACTAGGTGAGCAGGCCCCAGCTATGGCACAGATGTTGTCCTAAGGGATCATGAGCTTGTGAAGCCCTAAGCTGGGAAAAGGCTGGGGGAAGCCTCTAGCCATAGGACTATCTGGTGGCTGGAGGGGAGGAGGAAGGAGATTAGAAATGGAGGAAAGAGACAGGAGCAGGAGGGAAAAGAAAGGCAGGGAGGAGATGAAGGTGCAGAGAAGAGGGGGATGAGGGGAAAGAAGGAGGGAGGCGAATAACAGGAAGAAGTACAGAAGGGAGTGAAGAAGAGAGGTAAGGGACATAGGAAGAATATAGGGGAAAAAAAGAAGGAAGGGAAGGTTTGTGGGATGGGGGAGAACAGGAAGGAGGCTCCGAGAGGCAAGGCACACCTGGTGTAGCTTGTAGTAGAGGCCACAGGCATTGCACACAGGGTCCCCACTGGCATTTCTCCGCCACAGTGTCGTGGTGGTTGTCTGGCAGTTGGTACACTGGGTACCTGCCCGTTTGCTGACAATCTGGGAGAAGCAAGAAGGTGAAGATCAGTGCATTGGGGGGTGGAGGACACAAGAGTTGAGGGTCAGGGTGAAGGTAGGGCTGCCTGGACAGGGTATAGACTGTGGGTTCTCTATGGTGCGAGGACATGACCTCCAGTCCTGGGGCTTTCTATATTGTGGGGGGGACTAGATCAGTAGTTCTCAACTTGAGCGGACATTGGAATCACTTGGGGAGTTAAAAACAATCCTGATGCCCGGGCAGCACCCCAAAACAATTAAATCAGTACATCTAGGGAAGGTCCCAAGGTGATCCCAATGTGTAGCCAAATGAAAACTGCTGTGCAGGGAGTGGACGGGCCTCCTCCTTGCAGCCTGTGAGAGTAGGTTGAGGATAGGCACTCTTGGACAAAGCTGGGTTCCTGTATGGATGGGGAAGGGATGGGGATGTGGGTTCTTGTACAGTGTGAGGACAGGGACCCCTGCATGGGGTGAGAACAGCAGTACCTGGGTAAGGGGAATCAGGCCTGGGGTCTTACCAGGCGCTTCTTGGGCCGGATGAGGGGCCTGTTTTGCCCATTCATCTTGTGATAAAGGCCACAGGCGTTGCACAGGTAGTGGCCTGTCCTGTCCCGCCGCCACAGCGGAGTGGCTGTTGCTCCGCAGTTCACACACTCCCTGGCCTCTGGCAAGGTGGACAGAGGGAAAAGGAAGCCAGGCTCAACCCAACTTTGCCTTAGATGCCCCCCCCCAACCTCCCTGCCCCTTTTTGGGAATCTCACCACAGGTGGCCAGGGGCAGAGTTCCACGAAGCTTGGGGGAGGAATAGGCCGCTGGATTGAGGGGGCTTCCGGTGGGAGAAAAGAAGTTACTGGGAAAGTCAGCGCCCCCATAGGCACTGCTGGGGACAGGAATTGATGAAGGCAGTGCAGGCCCCAGGGTCAAGAGGTCTGGACTCAGTCGCTCTGTCTTTAAGGTCTCCAGGAAACTGCTGCTGCCTTTCCCATCCGGATCTTCTGAGGCCTGGGGAGGGGAGTCCTCGCGGGTGGGGCACACAGTTGAGGGAGGGTAGAGCCCAGTCTTGCCATAGGCCCAGCTGGTGTATGGTGAGCCCCCTGGGATCCCTTCCATACAGTTGAGCAATGGGTACACCTGAAAGACTGTTGTCAGGGTGGGTATGGGAAGGAAGAAAGAAGGGGACAGAACGGTCTGAAGCCATCCTACTTTCAGGGTGCAGTGGTGCCCAACAGCCCCAACATAGTGGCCAACTTCCCAACCTTGTCATGGGTTGCCAAAACAGCTACTGGCCAGTGGGTGACTCCTGGATCCTGAGCCCCACTGGTCACTCTGGCAACTGCAGTAGCCTCCAATCATTTCTAAATGGGCTTTGAGAATAACTGTTGTGATTTGGGGCCCCATGGATCACTCAACAACTAGGGCCTCAACCACCTACTTCCAACACTTCTTCCCAATGTGGCAGGTTGATGAGCATGGCATTGACAGGTCTGGACGTAACTAGGGGAAGTGGTCAACACAGCCATGTGAAGGCTTCTAGCCACTTTCAAGATAACCTCCTTGTGGGGTTCTACCCTAGCTAAGGGTCTCCATGGCAACCCCAATGCATGGAACCAGTGCAAGGAAAGCCACCCAAAGGAGTTACCTGGGGAGTGTCTGTAAGCCTCAGCATCCCTGTAGTAGGCCAGTGCAGCAGCTGCAGCCGAGGTGGTGCTCGGGCCAGTGGAGGAGGCTGCTGCATCCAAACCCTCAGGACCCGAGGGGAAGAAGACCCCTGACTCTGGTAGTGAGGACACCAGGGCAGGGTCCACAAACTGGGGCAGGGGCTCAGAGGTCCCCAGGGCCCCCAAGCCAGGGAACTCCATGGGGCTTCTGAGGTTCCACCTGTGAAGACAGGAAGGGTCCTCAGACAGAAATCCTCCCCTTCCCTCTCCACTCCCTCTTCCCTCCTTTCTCTCTCCTCCCACTCCATCCCCTCAATCTTTATATGCCTCCTTTCCATCTCCCTAGGTCTCTTCTCCTCCTCTCTTTTGCTCCCTTCCCAGTCCTCCCTCATCTCTCCCTAGTCTTCCACTCTCTCTCTTCTCACTCCCCATCCTCCTCTCCTTTCCCATTCTCCTCCCCTTCTTAAAAAATATTTTTTTTCTTTATTGATTTTAGAGAGAGAGGAAGAGAAACAGAAATATCAATGAGAGAGAACATTGATTGGCCGACTCCTGCATTACTCCCCACTGGGGATTGGGTCCACAACATGGGCAGGTGCCCTGACTGGGAATTGAACCAGCAACCTCTTCATGCAGGGTCAACGCTCAACCAATGAGGCACCCTGGCTGGGCTTATTCTCCTCCCCTTCTTGACCCATTTGTTTTTCCTCTGCTCCCTCCCTCTTCCTCTCCCTCTTTGACCCCCTTCTCTTCCTTCCCTTCCTCTTCCTCCCTCCCTTTCTTTCTCTTCTTCCTCTTCCAGTTTATTCTTTTTCCTCTCCCTCCCTCCCATCTCTTCTTTTTCCTCCTTTCACTCAACTTCCCTTCTTTCTTCTCTCCTCTTCCCCCTCTTCTTCCCCTCCTCCTCTTCCTCTCCCTCTCTCCCTGGTCCTCCTTCTCTTCTCTTCCTTCTTCTCTCCTCTCCTCCCCCCTCAGCCACCTTTTCTCCTTCTTCCCCTTTCTACATCTCCTCTACTCCTCTTTCCTCCTTTCTTCTTTTCTCTTCCCCTCCTGTCCCTTCTCATTTCCTCCTCTCTCCTGCCCTCCTTTTTCTCCATCCTTCTCCTCATCTCTTTTTTCCTCTCCTCATTTTTTCCTCCTGTCCTTCTCCTCCTCCCCCTCCACTTCCTCTTCTTCTCCTGCCCCCATATTCTCTCCTCTCCCCCTCTAGAACAGTCTGGGTGGAGTGGGGTACAGAATTAGAGTCCCATGAACCCCTTGGTCACCCCCTGGAACCTGGGGTTTACCCTCCTGTGCTCCCCAATTTCATCTCTATCTGCTGCATCTTGCCTTCTGACTTTCTCAGAAACCCCAAGATTTCCGGCTTGACTCCCCCTCCCCCACCTCAGTTGGGTCTGCAGACAGAGTTCCTCCCTGCTCCATGGGGGGGTCAGTACCCCCCACTGCTTATCTCTGCCATCCCCGCCCAACTTTTGAAATCACCCCAAGGCCACTGGCTTCCTCTGAGAAGGGGGCCAGCTGGGAGGTGTTCCCTTTACCCATACCCACTCCCCTGGGGAAGCTGGCCATAGTTCTGCTTTCTGGTTCCTTCAGTCCCTACCATCCCCAGGCCTCAGTTTCCCCATTTTCCAGATAGGAGGTGATGACAAGGCTAAGCTAAGACCTCTGAGATGGCAGCTTGGTCTATGCCCCTTTGCTGCCACAATTCCCTGTGTGTATCTCTGTCTCCCTGGGTCTTTCTCTGACATTTTTCTATGCTACCATGATATATATTGCTCTATCGGTGTAGTTTCATAAAAGTCTAATGTTTTTCCCTCCCTTTCTCTGTTTTTCCATGTCTCTATGATTGTTTCCATCTTTATCTCTTTCTGTTTTTATTGATTTGGGAGACAGAGAGGAGGGAGGGAGGGGAGAGAGAGAGAGAGAGACAGAGAGAGACAGAGAGAGAGAAACATTGATGTGAGAGAGAGAGAAACATTGATGTGAGAGAGAGACATCGGTTGGGAATCAAACCAGCGACTAGTGCATGGGACAATGCTCAACCAACTGAGCCACACTTGCCAGGGGCCAGGCCTATCTGTGTCTTTTTATCTTTTTGTTTGTTTGTTTGTTTCTCCTCTTAGCTCTCTTTATATCTTTTTCTGTTTCTCTTCTCTCTCCCTCTCCACTCATATCTACATTTCTCTCACTCTGTCTCTTCCTACTTGCTTGTTTCTTCCTGCTTTCTTTCTCTCTGGGCCCCCTGGCCTAATTTCCATGTCTGTTTTACTATCCCCACATTCCTGACCGCACCCCACTGCACACAGCCCCAGATGAGGATCCAGGAAACCTATCCCTGACTCTGACTTGCACTTTGTGAACCCGAAAGCCTCAGTTTCCCTGTCTGTATGATGGAGTGATGGAGATAGAATGGAAGGCCCCCTTCAAACCCCCTGCCAATGTGACCCATTGTGTGGACAGGCTGTGTTGGGCCCAAGGTTGGGTGTTATGCTGGGGAAAAGATGGCCCTGTGGATGCGCCCACAACCAACCTAGGCCCAGGGTCTATCCCCAGGGAAGGCGTCTTGCCTCCGCATTTCAGTCTCCATCTCTTTCCTCTGTGTCTTTCCATTATTCTATTTGTGAATCTCTCTCTCTCTCTCTCTCTCTCTCTCTGTTCCTGGGTGCCCTGCTCTCCTGCTGTCTCTCTTATTCTTTCTGAGTTTCTCTCTGTTGCTCTCTCTACATGTCTCTGTCTCTTGTTCTTTTTCTCTATTTCTTTTCTTTAAATATTTTTTTCTTTATTGATTTTAGAGAGAGAGGAAAGGAAGGGAGAGGGAGAGAGATAGAAACATCGATGAGAGAGAACATCGATTGGCTGCCTCCTGCATGCCCCCCACTGAGGATTTGGCCCACAACCTGGGCAGGTGCCCTAACTGGGAATCGAGCCTCTTGGTACATGGGTCAATGCTCAACCAGTGAGCCACACCGGCGGGGCTTTTCTCTATTTTTTTTTCCCTTCCCATCTCTCTTTGTTTTTCCCTCCATTCTCTCTCTGTCTCCCTGTGTGTCTCTTGCCTTTTGTTTATATTACCACTCTTCCTTTATCCCCTCATCCTCACCCCCCTATAATCTCTCTCTAGCCCCCTGCCCCCCTGCACCTGACACCTTGGTGGGTCTAGAGCTGCCCACCCCTCTCATGGCAGGGGCCCAGCCCCCCCACCCCCGCCCAGTTATCACTCTCCAGACAGAGATAAAGTTTATCTCAAGGCTGGGGGATATGAAAGCTCCTTATCAGCTGCCCCACTAGAGTAAGTGCTGCCCCAACGGGCAGCGGGCAGCAGGCAGCAGGCCGGCACCCTCAACTCTCCCTCGCCCAGCCCCTCACCCCAGGTAACGTCCCTATTCTAGCCCTCAGGGAGGGTCCCTCAGAACTAAAGGGAACAGAGATGGGGTCTGAGGGCAGATGCGTTTGGCAGGGTTTGAGGGTCAGATAGAGGTTGAGGAGTCAGAGGTATGGGGTATAGCTATGGGGTTTAAGAAAGCAGATATGGGGTTTGAGGAGCAGGGACAACCTTAAAAAGTCACATTTTGGGATGAGAAATAGGTTGGGAAAGCAGAGACAAAGTTGAGGATCGGGGTGAAGTTTGAGAATCAGATAAAGTTGAGAAATTAGACATGTAGTTTTAGGGGTCAGAGATGGATTCTGAGGACCATGGAAAAGTTTGAGGGCCCAAGGGTTATGAAGCGGATAAGGGTTATGGAGCGGATATGAAGTTTAGGGGCCAAAAATGGGTTTGGACAAGCAGAAATGTGTCTGATGATTAGAGATGGGTTATGGGAGCACAGGAGGAGTTTCAGAACTGAGATAGAATTGGAGTAGAGAAAGATTTGGGGCCAGAGAGATATGGCAGACAGAGACATTTTAGGGGCTGAGATGGGGTTTAGGGAAGGCAAACACAAGAATTTATGTGACAGTACAAATTTGGAGGAGTAGACTTGGTGTTTGGGATTGCAAAGACATTTTTATGAGTAGGCAAGGGGTTGGGGAAGAGAAATGATTTGGGGGGATCAGAGAGAAGTCACAGGGAACAAATACAAGGTTTGAGAGGCAGAGATGGGAGTAAGAGGATGGAGCTAAGGTTTGACAGGCCAGAGATAGGTCTGGGGGTCAAAGGGAGAGATTAGGGCAGAGGCAAGGATGTTGTAGAGCAGATAGGGCTTGGGGAGCAGAAGTAGTCGGGGCAGGGAAGTGAGTTTTGGGGGAGAATCTGGAGACAGAGACAAGTTCAGGTAAGTGAAAGTCAGAGGGCAGAAGTAGGATTTGGGAGATAAAGGTATGTTTTAGGGGGCAGAGATGGGGTATGGGGAGCGTTAAGGGATCAGGGTAACATAGATATTTTGAAAGGTATAGATGGGAGTCAGGGCAGAGAGAGGGGTAGGGATGGGGGTTGGAAAGACAGAGGTGGTCTGGAGGAGCTGTCAAGGGATTCAGAGGTGCTAAACACTTTGGGGGCCAGCAGTAGATTGGGGAACCTGAAGCAGGCTGGGGGAGTAGCCTTGAGGTAAAAAGCAGCAAGCCCGGAGTTTGCCTTGCTGGGGACTCTTGGGGGGCTGAGACTGACCTGGGCTGGTTGGTGCAGAGGGTTCAGCTGCTTTGGGGATGTGGCGAGCTCAGTGTGATCCCAGGGGGTGTCCTGCCTGGCCTTGGCCTTTGAGGCTCCCTTCCTCCTTCCCTCCCTCCCTCCCCTCTCCCTCCTCCCTCCTCCCCAGGGAGTGGCTGATGCACCAGTGGGTGGGACAGACCAGGGGAGGAGGCGGGCCCCCTGCTGATGGGGCACCTCTTGGGCAGTGGGGGCCTTTCTCCATCCCACCTGCTCACCCCATGGATTCTTGGACCCTGTTTGACTTGGGATCCCATGGACTTCAGTGTCCAACCAAACAATATGGGCTGAAGCCAAGATAAAACAAAAGTAGCAGATATGGTTACAGGACTCTTCTGGGTTTTTCACTGACTGTTTGTAAAGCCTCTATTGTGTGCTGGGCCAGGTGTGGGCTGGGCACTTATGTATGTAAGTCTTCCTGGCCATAGGGAAAGGAGGGGTATGACTATACCCATTTTGCAGGCGAGAAGAATGAGGCTCACAGAGGTTCAGTGGGATTTAAACCAGAGCCCATGGGACATCTTGACGACCCAGACCCAGCTGGGGCGCCAGGCCAGGGCTGGTGGGAGGCGGGGGCATACTCACTCAGTACCCCACTGGGGCTTACGCCAGCTCTGGCCTGTCTTGGGGCAGCAGATAAGTCTTATCAGATGGAGGCCACGGTGGCTGTTGGCTTCGCGGTAACAGGCTGTCTTAGGATGGGGGGCGGGGCTGGGGGGCACCCAGGGACAGCGGCCTCAACTTCTTACCCGCCATGGTGCTCTGGCGGCGGGAAACAGGTGGGACCAGGGGTTGGTTCCTCTACGGGTCCTTGAGGAGTGGGATAGAGTGGGGGAAGGGAGGGAGAATTGAAGGGACAGAGAAGAGTGAGACAGAGACAGAGATGGAAATCAGGAGACACTGAGAGATAAACAGAAAGAAACACAGAGCTGGAAGGAGACAGAGGGCACAGAAAGAAAGACCGAGAGAGGGGGAGAGATACACAGAGAGGGCCAGAGACAGTTAAAGACAGACAGATAGGCAGAGAGAATGCGAGAGAGAGAGACAGAAACAGAGAAGGGAAAGATAAAGCCTGAAAATGACAGAGGCCAATGACACAGGTAGAGAAACAGAAGGGAGACAAAGCCGAAGCTGTAGAGAAGGGGACAGAGACAGAAAGATAATCAGAGACAGAAAGTCTGAGAGGAAGTCCATGAGACCCCACGTGGCAGCCTGGGTACACCCTGGGCAGGTGGTGCTGGGGTTGGTGGGACAGGGGAATGTGGATTGACGTGGACTCATGTAGCCTGTGACTCTGCCCTTAATCTGCTGAGAGCGACCCTCAGAGAGTTGTTGGGCCTCTGCATCTCAGTCCCCACCTTCTTGCCCTATCCTACTTCCCCCAAATAGTAACAACAATGACAACAATCAGTGTCTCATGCTGTCATAGACCCATGCCTGGCCTGTTCTGAGCACTTTCTCTGTATGAAATTATTGGACACGTGCACACAGTGCACAAAGTAGGTGCCCAACTTGGATCCCCATAGGGAAGGGGGTAAGGTTACTCAGTCACCACCCCAGAACTCCATGAGACAGGGTGCTCTCCTGACCACCCATTCTACAGATGGGGAGACCAAGACCCACTGAGGGCAGAGGGGAAGGATGGAGCCCTGGGTCAGTGGGGTCTGATCACCCATGTGACCACCCCTGAGGGAGTTTCCCTTCTTCATCTTGTCTCTCTCTCTGGCCTTGGTACCCTCATGCAAAATGGGGATTTTGAGAAGGAAAGAGCAAGGCCACAACTTCTAATTTATTGAGCTACTACTATGTGTCACACCCATGCTGAATCCTTATTGGTAAGAAGGAAGAAAAAAACCCAATGACCTAACTGAAGATGGTTTCAGGATATCCACTCTGGAGCCAGCCCACCCTCATTTATAGACCTCCCTACCACTGACTGGCCATATGGCCTTGGGCAAGTTGCTACCTGCTCTGGACCTCAGCTCTTCATCTGTAAGGATGGGGTAATAATAGTGGCTACTCTGTAGGGTGAAGGGGCCACTCAACTTGCTTTAATCTATTAAGTAATTTTAACTCACTTGAATCTCAAATCTCAATAACTGTTAAGTATTCTTACTTATTTATTGAGTACCTACTGTATATGAGGGATAGTACTTGAACCGTTTTTACTAGAACTACTTCTAATTCTAATACTGATACTAATAATATGCTGACACCAATATCAATTCTAATTACTAATATTAATATTAATTCTAATATTGATACTATCACTAGTACTAATTTTAATAATGATAGTAATACTAATGATAATTCCAATCTAACAATAATGCTGTTGTTAATACCAGTACTGTTTCTAAAACTAATAATTATTATTCATCCTAATTCTATCACCAACAATAATGTTGATAATACTGACTTGGATACTTTTCTTAGCACTAATACAATAATAATAACAACAGCAACAATGATTGCCAAGCTACCCAGGCACTGTGCTAAGCGCTTTCCATGCAGAATTCTATTCCATTCGCACCAGGTCCTTGTGGTGGGAGTGCATATAGTTCCCCCATCTTCCAGCCTGGGAGTAGGTACAGAGAAATAAAGATGTTCGTCCAAGGCCCTGGGTCCTTGTCTCAGCTCCGACACTGATTTTCTGCATGATTCCTGGGCAAGCCACCCTCTGAACCCAATTCCTTCACCTGGAAAATAGGTACAATTATAGAGCCCACATCAAATGTTGTTGAGATGCCACTCAACACAGGACCTGCCTGGCACACCATAAATGGTGAGTTCTGTAAAGGTAACTGTCCTCAATGTTAGTATTATTAGAAACAGCAGTTGCAGTGTAGGCGGAAAGGTAGGGAAAAACTGTCCTCCTGGGAAAAGGCAGACTGGATGCATGTCTCACACAAGGGTTTGGCCACTAGACTCATGGCCCATTTCTGGAGGGAGAAAGGGCTCAGGAAGGGAAGTGAAGGGTGGGGAGTGGAGGCCTCAGAGCCCTGCCTCTGTCAAGAGCCAGAAACCCTAGGGCTCTGAGGCTAGGCCTCACCCTATTCCCTCCCCCATCCCTGTGGAGGGGGCACAGGCCCAGAAGTCTGCGGCTACAATTCAGCCAGCAGGGAGGCAGCTGGGAGTGGGCAGATAAGGGAATCAGTGGGGCCAGGCCAGGCTTTGGGGGAGACCCACGAGGGCGGGAGGTAGGGGTGAGGGTGGGGGTGGAGTGTCCCAGCCAAGTGTCTTCTTTGTCAGACCTCCATTTGAGACTCAGCCCCAATGTCCTCCCTTCCTTGAAGTCTTCCCTGACTGGTTCCTTCTCTTCTGGCATCTTCTGGGGTTCTGGAGCTTGGTGCCAGTCCATGGCGTTTGGACTATTTATGCCTCTCCCAGATTGCGGAGTCCAGCAGGATGGGGACAGAACCCCACCTTGTTTACTTCAGATACTTTAAAAAAAATCCTCACCTGAGGATATTTTTTTCCATTGATTTTTAGAGAGAGTGGAAGGGAAAGGGAGAGCGAGAGAGAGAGAGAGAATGTGAGAGAGACACATAGATTGGTTGGCTCCCATACATGCCCCAACAGGGGCCGGGAATCGAACCTGCAACTCAGGTACGCGCCCTTGACCAGGAATTGAACCGAAAACACTTCGGTGTGCAAGCTGATGCTCTAACCACTGAACAACACCGGCCAGGGCATACTTCAGATACTTTTAAAAAGAAATAATATTACAGATCCAGTTGAAGTCCTTGCACCAATTTCATCTCCCTTTCTCCTTCCACGCCTTGAGTTTGGTATTTATCTTCCTCATGACTTTTTATTCCACTAGTACATATGAATAAACAACATATGATACTGGGGTTTTGGGCTTGTTTTCGAACTTCGTATAAATGGAATCATACAGTATGTGCTTCATACAGCATAATGGCTGTGACATTCATCCAGACTGTTGTGTGTATCAATAGTTCATTCTTTTTTTATTAAGATGTAATTCACATACCATAAAATTTACTCATTTAAAGTATACATTTCAGTGATAGTCTATTCACACAGTTGTGCAATTATCAACACTATCTAATTCTAGAACATTGTCATCACTCCCAAAAGAAGCCGGGTACCAATTAGAGGTTATTTCCCATTCCATTTTTGCTTCCCCCAAGCTTCTGACAGCCACTAATCTAACTTCTGTCTCATGGATTTGCATGTTCTGGACATTTCATATAATGGAATTATACATATGAGGAGTAGAGTTGCAGGGCCTTATGGTAATTCTGTTTAACTTTTTGAGGAACTACAAAAGTGTTCTCCACAGCAGCTGTAGGAGGGTTCCAATTTATGTATATCCTTTCCAACACCTGATATTGTCCTGCTTTTTTGTTCTAGCCATCTTGGCAGGTGTGATGTAGTATCCTGTGGTTTTGATTTGCATTTTCTTCATGACTTATGATGTTGAGCACTTTTTTCATGTGCTTATTGACCATTTACACATCTTCTTTAGAGAAATGTCTATTCAAATTCTTTGCTCATTTTAATTGGGTTATTTGTCTTTTTATTGTTGAATTATAAGAGTTCTTTATATATTCTGGATGCTAGGCTCTTATAGATACATGATTTGCAAATATTTTCTTCAATTTGTGGGTTGTCTTTTCATTTTTTTGAGAGTGACTTTTGAAGCACAAAAGTTTTTAGTTTTGATGAAGTTCAGTTTATTTTTTCTTTGGTTGCTTATGCTTTAGGTGTCATATTTAAGAAACCATTGCCTAAAGCAAGGTCACGAAGATTTATGCCCATGTTTTCTTCCAAAAGTTTTCTAGTTTTTGTAGTTTTAGCTCTTACATTTAGGTCTTTGATTCCTTTTTATTTCATTTTTGTATCTGGTATAAAGTGGAGGGTCAATTTCATTCTTTTGCATGTGGATATCCAGCTGTCCCAGCACCATTTGTTGAAAAGATTATTCTTTCTCCATTGACTTGTCTTGACACACTTGCCAAAAATCAGTTGCCCATTATGTATTATTTCTGAACTCTTGATTCTATTCCATTGATATATATGTCTATTTTTATGCCAGTACCACACACTCTTGATTACTGTAGCTGTGTAGTAAGTTTTTATTTTTATTTTTTATCCTCACCCGAGGACATTTTTGCATTTATCTTCAGATAGAGCAGGAGGGAGAGAGGGGGGAGAGAGAGAGAAAGAAAGAGAGAGAGAGAGAAACATCTACATGAGAGAGACACATCGACTGGCTGCCACCCACACAACCCCAATCGGAGCTGGGGACAAACTGAAACCGAGGTACATGCCCTTAGCGGGAACCGAACCCAGACTCTCCAGTCCGTGGGCCGATGCTCTAACCACTGAGCAAAACTGGCCAGGACTGTAGTAAGTTTTTATTTTTTTATCCTCACCCAAGGACATTTTCCCCCCCATTTTGTTGTTCAGATAGAGCAGGAGGGAGAGAGAGAGGGAGAAACATCGATGCGAAAGGGACACATCTAGTGGTTGCCTCCCTCACGACCCAACCAGGGCCGGGGACAAACTGCAACCGAGGTACATGCCCTTAGCGGGAACCGAACCCGGGTCTCTGTGGACCTCAGGCCGACGCTCTAACCACTGAGCAAAACTGGCCAGGGCTATAGTAAGTTTTTAAAGTGGGAAGTGTTAATCCTCCAACTGTGTTTTTCTTTTTCTTTAAAAATTTTTAAAAATTGATTTTTAGAGAAGAAACGAGAGGAAGAGAGAGAAAAACATCAACATGAGAGCAAAACTTGGATTGGTTATCTCCTGCACACCTCCTACTGGGAATCAAACCCGCAACCTTTCCATGCATAGGATGACGCCTAAGCAACTGAGCCACACAGGCTAGTACGGTGCTTTTTTTTTTTTTTTTCAAGATTGTTGTAGCCATTCTGGGTCCCTGGCATTTCCACATGAATTTTAGGATTCGCTTGTCAATTTCTGCAAAGAAACAAGATGGGATTCTGATAGGGATTGCATGAAATTTGTAGATTAATTTGGGAAGTATTGTCACCTTAACACTATGAAGTTTTTTATCTGTAAACATGTGATATCTGTCTATTTATTTAGGTCTTCTTTAAATTCTTTCAGCAATGTTATAGTTTTCAGCATACAAGTCTTGCCCACCTTTTGTTAAATTTGTGTTATTATTTTTGATGCTATTGTAAATGGAATTGTTTTCTTAATTTCATTTTTTGGATTGTTCACTGCTAGTGTATAGAAATATGATTAAGTTTTGTGTGATCTTATATCCTGTGACCTTGCTGAGCTCATATGTGTATATATGTATATGTATATGGTATATGGTATATATAATGGTTTTGTTGTGGGTTCCTTAAGATTTTCTGTGTACAAAATCATGTCATCTGCAAATAGAGATAGTTTTACTTCTTTTTTTCCAATATGAATGACTTTTATTTCTTTTTCTTACCTAATTGCCTTGATTAGAACCTCCAGTATAATGTTGAATGGAAGTGATGAGAGGAGACACCCCTGACTTGTTCCTGATCTTTGAGAGAAAGTTTTTTTTCACCATTAAGTATGATGTTAACTGTAGGTTTTTTGTAGATGCCCTTTTTCAGGTTGAGGAAGTTATCTTCTATTTCTAGTTTACTGAATGTTTTTATCATGAAAAGGTGTTGAATTTTGACAAATGCATTTTTCTGCATCTATTGAAATTATGTAGTTTGTACTTTATTCTATTAATTTGGTGTATTTGCATTGATTGATTTTCGTATTTTGGACCAATCTTGCATTCCTGGTTATGCTGTCTACTTCTTGTATGTGTTACTGAATTCTATTTACTAGTATTTTGTCAAAGATTTTGGCATTTATATTCATGAGATATTGGTCTGTAGTTTTCTTTTCTTGTTATGTCTTTGTCTGGTTTTGATATCAGGTCAGTGCTAGCCTACGAACTTATTCCCTTTTATTACTGAGTTGTAGTCCACAAAATGGATATACCATGGTTTGTTTAACCATTCATCTGCTGATGGACATTTGGGCTGTTTCTAGGTTTTTTTGCCTATTACAAATCTGTAATTTACAAACTCATATTCTTCTTTCTGAGCACAAACATGTGAAAGAGTTTCTCCAAGGGTGGGAGATATCAGCCCATCTATCCATCCACCCACCCACCTAACCATTCATTCATCCACCCATCTGCTGCCCACCTCTCCCTCCTTTTCCCTCCCTCCCTCCCCTCCCTCCTTTTCCCTCCCTCCCTCCCTCCCTCCCTTTCTTCTTTCCATAAATCATCTATCTCCAGGAATATAACATCTGTAGCCAAAGCAAGCTATCTTTTCAAAATAAGCAGGAAACCTGCTACAGCTTTTGGCAAGCCTTTCACGTGGTGAAACTCACATTCTTACAATCCTCTCTTCCCAGCATTTTTGGGGCTCCCTGGTGGTTCACTCATGGGGCCTGGTTGAATTACCACCTGTGTAGGGACTGTTTAGAGACCAGAGTCCACATGACTAGGGACTCCCTCACCTCAAGAGACTCTTATACCTGCTCCTTCATCCATACATCATTCATTCATTCATTCATTCATTCAGGAAGATTCATTCAGGAAGCTGTACTCTTCCGTTCCCTCCTCCTTTTTTTTTTTTTTATCCTCACCCGAGGACATTTTTCCATTTTCTGTACAGATAGAGTGGGAGGGAGAGAGAGGAAGAGAGAGAGAGAAACATCGACGTGAAAGGGACACATCGAGTGGCTGCCACCCGCACGACCAACCAGGGCCGGGGACAAACCGCAATTGAGGTACATGCCCCTAGCGGGAACCGAACCCGGGTCTCTCCGGACCGCAGGCCGACGCTCTAACCGCTGAGCCAAACCGGCCAGGGCCCGCTCCCTCTATGCTTACCTCATTTTCTGGTTCCTCTCCTTGTTTCAGAATTTTAAATGCCTTTGGACCTCTTCTCTAGTTGACATTTTCTCTCTTGGTGAACTCATCCAGTCTCTGTCACTCATTGCTCCCTCTTTCTCCTCACTGATCTCCTGCTGTTCATCACACGCACCAGGCACATTCATGCTTTAGGGCCTTTGCACTGGCTCTTCCCTCTGGTGTGCTCAAATATCTCCTTCTCTGAGGTTTCCACTGACCATCCTTTTACACATTGGAAACTGCCCCAGTGATTTTTATCTGTATTCCCCTTTTTCCATGTTTTCTTTTTCTCCAAAGCATCCTCTAACATACTTAGTATTTTTCTTACTTTTTTATTTTTATTTTTTTTCTATTGATTTTAGAGAGAAAGGGAGAGAGAGATAGAAACATGGATGAGAGGGAACATCAATTGGCCACCTCCTGCATGCCCCCCACTGGGGATTTGGCCCACAACTTGGGCATGTGCCCTGATGGGGACCTCTTGGTGTATGGGTCAACGCTCAACCACTGAGCCACACCGGCCGGGCAGTATTTTCTTAACGTCATTTTGTATCTCTCCCACTAGAATGGTAGCTCCACAAACATACACATGCTTATCTCTTCTGTTCAATGCTCTCTCTCCAAAGCCTGGAACAGGTCCAAGCACACAGTAGGTGTTCAATATATGTTTATTAATTGAGTGAGTGAATGGTGGTGTGGTGTGTGGGGGAGGGGCAGGAACAGAAGAAATTTGTCCCTGTCCCATTCTACTCTGTCAGGAGCTGAGCCTCAATTGAGGAGTCTGGACTTACCAGATCCAAAGGTAGAAAGTACCACATCACCTGGGGGTGAGACCAGATAAGGCACACCAAGAGGTGGTAGTATCTGGGCTGGTCCTTGAAGGTCCAATGGAAATCATAGAGATCCTGAGGTTCAGTGAGGCTTCTGGGGTGTAGGAAACAGCAGGCAGAACCTGAAAGAAGCGATATGAGTTTAAAAGGATAAAAAAAGAATGGATTCATGGACAAGGAGAACTCTGTCAGAGGCCTTGAAGCCCAAGGGCCTGATCCTGGATTTGGTCCCCAGAGATGTTATACCCTAGTCCCTGACTCCCAAAGAGCTCAGAGACCTTATATACTAGACAAACACCCATACATAATGCTAAGACAATAATAACGAAGAGCTAATATTAATTGAGAAGTTATTAATTTATTGGGGCAGCTTGGAAGGAGAACATTCAGTCATGTAGGTTTGGTCCCAAACCCATCTCAGGTTCCCCCAGCAGGATGTGTAAAGTACCTAGGAGTCATCAGTTCCTGGAGGTCTCTGGATCTGGGTGAAGGTCTGGAGGAAGGAAGGAAAAAAGCAACATTGCAGGGACCAAAATCAAGGAACGGCAGCTTCAACCATGAGGAAACATAGTTGGACACCTCAATCAGGTTTCTGTCAAGGTCTTGGAAGTAGATTGACATAATAGGCCCTTTTGCCCAGTTCTGGGGACTAGACCCGCCTCATTGGGGACATTCCAAGCCTGAAGTAGAAGACAAAAGTCATTCATCACATTCCATGAGTGAGATCAGAATTTAATTCCTTATAGTGGCCTAGAAGACCTCTGTAACTTTCTGAGCTCATCTACCATTCCCCCTTCCCTCCCTCTGCTCTGGACATATACCAGCTGTATGGCCTTGGGCGGATAACTGCTCTGTACCTCAGTTTCCTCATCTGTAAAATGGGAATGATAATAATGTTTAGTATTAGTAAGTGGCAGAGTCAGAATTCAATCCTAGGCAGTCTAGGCCAAAGTTCATCCTCTTAACCCCTATGCTTTCCCCACTTCACTTCCAAACAAAACTTTTTCACTGATACTTTCCTAAAAAAGAGTCCAGGATATTTGCACAGAATATATTCAAGACCTCAATCTGTATTCCCCAACAGGAGAACCAATTCTCCCTTTACGTGAAACAGTTTTGTTACAGGGACACCAACATTAAATAATAGTAAATTAGAAATTATTTCCTCTTCAATCATTTTTCAGTCCTTCTGATTTTACCAAGAAGAAAGTCTCTGGTGGGTGCTAACAAGTCCTTAGCACCTCCTTAACCACTTGCCAAATCTCCATTTGGAATGCCAGGGCTGGAGAGTTCAGGGAATGGAAATAGCTAGAATGGAATGACATTGTGATGCTTTTATAGCTGTTTGTTTTTACAGTTACCCTCCTTTTGTGCCAAGATATAATGGGTTTTTCATTTGCTTGGTTGAACATTTTCTTTTTACATAAGTATATTTCTGTAATGAGGATTTAGGTACAATTTTTACAAGGGTAATGTAAAATTTCCTTTTAAAATATATTTACCTGAAAAAATATGTCAATAAAAATAATGTGTAAACAATTGTGTACAGGCATCATCTGGATGTGAGGAAACCTCTCATGCCTGAAGTTTGAGGAAGACCGCATGCTTCTGTTTTCACTGCATCTGCAGCAGCTTCCTGAAAAAAAAAAAAAGAAGATCTGACTCACCTTGAGGTGCTGGACCATTTCCTCCAAAGGTGCCTCTGTGATCAGACATATGTCCAGGAAGCCAGGAACTGAGTGAGCAGTTTGGGTTCAAATTCCTTCCCCACTTTATGAAGGTTACATTTCTGTTTTCCAAAACACAATGCTTTCCTATCTTCCTATTTAGGGAGAGAAATCAACCTAGAGCTAAACCTCCAAGATGAATGTGAGACAAAACCTCCCTACCTACCCCAACAAGTGTGGCGAGAGAGAACCGAGGGACCACCAGAGCCAAATTAAAGCCAAATAGAGAGCAAAGCCGGCCGGCGACTGGTCCCGAATTCTCGGAGACCAGCCCTGGGGCCTCCAAATGTTGTGGCGTGACAGAGTCAAAGAAAGACCACTAGAGAACTGAAGTCCAATTAAGAGCCGTTTACTAGCCGGCCGGCGTCTGATTCCAAACACCCCTGTGACAGAGCCTTCCGAATCAGCCCCGGTATGCTTTATTACATGCCTTTTATACCTTACAGAAAATAGGATCTTCTTGATATGCCCAGGGCCACAGCAATGCTGTATAGAATTAGTTTACCTTACAGATAACAGGAACACCCAGGCTCACCCAGGAACACCCAGGTATTTCAAGGTACATTGGGTCACACTTAGCTGCACAAACACAATACAAGCCTAATTCCTTGAGATTGTGGGGGAGATCGAGTCTCTGACTCAAAACCTTTAGGCTCTATGGACTCTGTCAGACACGTAGCAGGCTCCCAACAATTTATTGGTTCTGGGACTATTCCAGTTTACTGAGGTTATTTTGACTAAACAGATTCAGCTAGAGGGCACACAGTGACTTTCTCAATCATCAGTTATGGGATTATAAACATGCCAGCACACAAGGTTTTAAAAATGTAGAACAGGCCCTGGCTGGTTTTCTAAGTGGTTAGAGCGCTGGCCTGAGGACAGAAGAGTCTAGGGTTTGATTCTCTGTCAAGGGCATGTACCTGTTGAGTTGTGTGGGAGGCAACCAACTCATGTGTCTCTCTCACACTGATGTTTCTCTCTCTCTCCCTTCCTCCCTCCCACTCTATCTAAAAATCAATGGAAAAAATATCCTCAGGTGAGGATCAAAAAAAAAGTAGAACAGGACTTTTAATGAAAAAAACAAACAAACAAAATAACAACTCTCTGCTCCACCCCAGTTTCATTCCCTAGAAGCAACTGCTTTTAACATGTGTGTGTTTATTTCTTCTGGAAATTATTTCCTTATCTCCAAATAATGTTTATACTACCCATGGCAGAAACAACAATTTACCTACTTACTATACATTTCTCCATTTTTTCTTATAAACACAATACAAATAATGTCAGCAGGGTTGTGGGTGGGGCCTCTGGGTACCTCCCTGCCCCACTGAGCTGTCACCTTTTGCCCATTCACTTCCTCCTTATTCCCAGTCACGGCCCAAGCCCTGACTGCCTGTCTCCACTGGTTGTTAAATAAGAGAAAATTAAAACTCTATCTTCTTTACTCACTGTTAATTGGGTTTTCTCCTGTGTGCCTCCAGACACAGTCCCTAATTGATGTGCCACTATTTTTTGATTTAACAACTTTAGATATCTCTATCCTTTTTCTGCTATGATGAATGAGAATTCAGCTCATCCAAGAGATAAACCAAACTTATATGTATATATGCACAACCAATGGATACAGACATTAGTTTGGGGAAAGCAGGAGGGGACTGGGAGTGAGGAGGAGGGGATCACTGGGGAAAAAAGAGGGGACATCTATAATACTTTCAACAATAAAAAAATAATTAAAAAAAAAAACATATATCGGGTCCGGCCCATGTGGCTCAGTGTTTGAGCATCAACTCATGTACCAAGAGGTCGCCGGTTCGATTCCTGGTCAGGACATATGCCCAGGTTGTGGGCCCGATCCCCAGTGGGGGGCATGCAGGAGGCGGCCAATCAATGTTCTCTCTCATTGATGTTTCTGTCTCTTCCTCTCACTTCCTCTCTCTCTAAAATCAATAAAGAAAAAAATTAAAAAAAAAAACTTTTATCTCATCCACATTACTACCCCTCCCAATAGAATTCTATCATCATTTTTAGTTCCTCTTTTAGTTCTTTTATAATTTTAAATAATTCACTTGTATCTTTACATCTTGACAGATTAACTTTAGCCAGTTTCTCATTGATCTTACTCTCCTTCTCTTCATGTCTCCTCCCTCTCCTGTGCCTCTCAACCTCTGCCATTTCTTGTATCATTTTTACATCTCTTTCTTTTACATTACCATGATTGATACAACATCCACTCTATTAGAAAATGACTTTATTTCACTTTTACACATTAATGATAGTTTGGCTGAGTATAGAATTCAAGGTTGCAAGTTATTTTCCCACAGCCTCTAAATACATGGCTTTATTGTCTTCCTGAATCTGGTGTTGCTGACAAGAAGTCTGATATTAATCTGCTTTTCATTCTTTTGTAGATAATACATCCACCCTCCACTCTTGCAGCTTTTAGGACTTTTTAAATAATTAAAATATATATATATGTTTTTATTGATTTTTTAGTGAGAAGAGAGAGAGAGATAGAAACAGTGATGTGAGAGAGAAATATTGATCGGCTGCCTCCTGCACACCCCACACTGGGGATTGAGCCCGCAACCTGGGCATGTGCCCTGATTGGGAATCAAACTGGGATCTCTGAATCCACGAGACGACGTTCAATCCACTGAGCCACACAGGCCAGGTAGGACTTTTTTTATCCTAGATGTACTGAAGTTTTGCTCCAATGTGTCCAGTATAGGGACTTGAGGCATCATATGCTTCATTATCACTATTGGCTCATGCAAGGCCCCTCTCTAGTTTTCTTTTTTAGGGGGAGGGGGGAGAGCGCGAATGCAGTCCCCCACTACCACAAAGTGTGCAGTCGAGTTTCCCACATTTGGGTAAATTGCAGGGGTCAGCACATCCGGAGTGCAATGGATAAGACTCGCCCTGGGAAAACCACCTTTGTGATTATGGTATCTCCCCTGCCAGGTAAGTATTCTAGTTTTCTTTATACATTTATTCTTTTTATCTCCATTCTCCACTCCTGTCCCCACCCTAGCCAACCATTATAATGTGTTTGATGTTTGGTTTTTATAAGTTATTGTAAAAACTGTATTATTGTTCTATTTGCGTATGTTATAAATTATATCATGCTGTAGACCCGATTCTGTTTTTTTATTTTTCACTCAGCATGATCTTTTTAAGACCTGTCCATTTTGCTGTGTATACATCCAGTCTGATTTTGCATAATTCTATTTTAATGCATAGCATTTCATGTTAGGTTTAAATTTTGTATCCTGTTTGCCATTCTATGGGCCCTTTCAACTTAAGAGAGAATATATATTTGCTTCCTCTGCATTTCCCACTTTTGTAGTTGTTTCAAATTCTTAAGGATAGTACAGTATTCAATCTCTGGAAAGCTCCTTTCTTCCTGGGGTCTGTATTTCTTGGGAACTTTCTTTCTTCTGTTCCAAATTGGACTGATTATCCTCTAGGTATCTTTCTGGGATCTCCCTAGGGATCCATGTGTCCTGACTTTGATGTTTTCCTTACTCCTGGCTTAATCACTCATGTTGACGTAGCATAATCTCAATTTCCAAAGCAAGTGGGCAAAATATCTGAGTCTTTTTATGTTCAAGAATGTTTTATTCTACCCTCACCTTGACTGATAGTTTGGTTGGACATAGAATTCTAGGTTGAATTTTTTCCCCCTCATAATCTTGTAGGTGTTCTTCTATTGTCTTCTAGTCTCTTATGTGAATCTTGAGAAATCTGACATCTGTATATGTATTTATTTTTCTTTTGCAGTTGAACTACTTTTCTTTTTAACCTCTCTGAAAGTTCTTAGGATCTTCATTTTCACTTTGACGTTCTATCATTTTATTTATTTATTTATTTATTTTTTGGTACGTGCCCCTAGCGGGAACGGAACCCAGGACTCTCTGGTCTGCGGACCAACACTCCAACCGCGGAGCCAAACTGGCCAGGGCGATGTTCTATAATTTTATAAGAACACAGCTAAGTGTCAATGTACTGGATATTCAGTTAACACTTTCCATATAAAGACTGGAAAGTTTTCTTGAATTATTTCTATGGTAATTTCTTCCTCTCCATTTCTCCATTCTCTCTCTGGAAGTTCCACCATTCAGAGTTTGGAATCTCCTTTCCGGATCCTTTAAAACTTTCTCACAGATTTATTGTGGGTTTTTTGTTTTAAGATATTTTTTCTTTATTGATTTTAGAGGAAGAAAGGAAGGGAGGCAGAGAGAGAGAGAAACACTGATGAGAGAGGACATTGATTGGGCCACCTCCTGCATGTCCCCTACGGGGGATTGAGCCCACAACCTGGGCATGTGTCCTGACTGGGAATCGATAAAGGGAGTGGAGACCAAGAGCAAACCCTCTCTTATTTTCCCTCAGCTGGAATTCATCTCTTTTTTAAGAAATGACAAGACCCAGAGGAGGTCCAGTGCTATGAGGACAAGCCCTCTGTTGGCCAATTTCACTCAATCCCCTCTTTTCCTACTCCACAGTTATGATCACAGAGGACAAAATAAGAAGGGAGCATCTCAGATTAAATAAATGTTTCTAGGCATGTGTGTTTACAGATCTACTTTGAAACTGATGGGAGGACATACCTCCTTCCTCCAACTTCCTGTCTTCTGCACACTACCTACCAAGTCTTTCTCTCTTTTTTTTAAAATTGTATTTAATTTTTCTTTATTGATGTTAGAGAGAGAGAAGAAGGGAGAGATAGAAACATCGATGAGAGAGAACATCGATTGGCTGCCTCCTGGATGTCCCCCACTGGGGATCAGGCCCACAACCTGGGCATGTGCCCTGACTGGGAGATGAACCGGCCGGGCCCAAGTCTTTCTCTTGATTTGCATTCTTTAGTAATTTTTTAAATTTACATTACGTCTGCTACAGGATTTTAAAGTGCCTGTGGTCTGGCACTACAGGTAGTAGAGTATAGTGGTTAAAAGATCAGGCTCTGGAGCCCAACTGACATTTAATTAATCTCTCTGTACCTTAGTCTCCCCTTCTATAAAATGGGCATGGTTTTATACATATCCTATAGGGCTGTTGTAAACATTTTTTAAAAGAGTTGTATATTTAAGGGCTAAGAACAATTCCTAACAGGTGGCAAGTGCTATAAGAGTTAATGATGATAATATTGTCATGGTCATCTTGTTGAAATTCAGACTCCCTACTATGACACTCAATCTCTACAGCCTCATCCATTGTTCTTGAACTCCAAGCCACATTGCCCTTTTTCCTGTTCCTCATAAGGGCCATCCTTGTACCTTTGGTCTCAAGGTCTGTCTCTTAATTAGAAAAGAAGCTTCATAAGAGTAGAGAATTTTCTCTGTTTTGTTCCCCACTATGTCCCAAACAACTAGCAGATATTCAATAATATTTGCTCAGTTAGTGGATATCTACCACAACAATTAGGCCCAGTGCCTGGCACAAAGTCTAACTTCTATTCCCTTCCCTTCCTTTCCTCTTCTTCCCATTTCATTCTATTCTAGCATAGGCTATGTTATTCTGTTCCATTCCACAGTGTTCAATTCCATTCAAGTTATTACATTTTAAACAATTGATTTTACTAAGCCCCAGCTAAAAAAAAGTCCGTGTTCTATTTTCATGAGTGTTGAAGGCATTAGCAAAGTTTCTGAGTTCTGCTGTCCTCATGGATACAGAGGTTCCACAGGGACACAGAAGCAGTAGAATGAGAAAATGACTGACATTTGGGCTCCGTTGAAAATTAAGTCATATGTTTAAAAAATCTTATTAACCTTTTAACTCCTGTAGGATCTGTAATGGAACTTTCTTTTCTTTCCTACATTGGTAATTAATATTTTTTCTTAATTGCTTGAGAGAAAACAGAAATTACTAATATTTTATCAATCTGTTCAAAGAACAAACTTTTCTGATCTATATTTTTAGACCTGTAGATTTTCCTTAAGCACTGCTTAGCAGCATCCTCAATTTTGATAGTCTTTTGGAAATCAACTCAATCTATTCCTCCTATTTTTCTTTTCTTTCTTACTGCTGCTGTTTTTTTTTAAATTTATTTATTGATGAGAGAGAGAGAGAGAGAGAGATTTGTTGTTCCACTCATTCATGCATTCATTGGTTGATTCTTGTATGTGCCCTGACCAGCGATCTAACCAACAACCTTGGCGTATCTGGATGATCTAACCAACTCAGTTACTCAGCTAGGGCCCCTCCCATTTTTTAATACCCTGCCACCTCAGATTTACACCCCAGGTCCTGTTTTGTATATGGGAAGCTCCATCTTTGTAAATTCAAGGATGAGTAGGGCTGACTCTTTCTCTTTTTTCTTAATAGCATATATTTTAAAATTAATTTTTGTTACAGATGTTTCTCCTTTTCCTCCCATTGACACGATCTTCCTCGCTCCTTCCCCCTTCATAGTATTGTTATCTATGTCCATTGGTTACACATATATGCATATAAGTTCTTTGATTTATCTCTTCTCTTCCCCCGCCCCTCTCTTCTGAGGTTTCTCAGGCTGTACCCTACTTCTATGTCTCAGGGTCTATTTTGTTCATCAGCTTCTATTGTTCATTATATTCCACAAATAAGAGAGATCATGTGATATTTGTCTTGCTCTGATTGGCTTATTTTGCTTAGCATAATACACTCAAGTTTCCTCCATGTCATCTCAAAGGATAAGAGATCTTTCTTTCTTACAGCTGCATAGTATTCCATTGTGGTACATAGTAAATGTACCACAGCTTTTTTATCCACTCATATTGATGGACACTTGGGCTATTTCCAGATCTTAGCAATTGTAAATAGTGCTGCTATGAACATAGGGGTGCATATATTCTTTCTGATTGGTGTTTCAGGCTTCTTAGGCTATATTCCCAGAAGTGGGATCATTGGGTCAAATGGCAGTTCCATTTTTAATTTTTTGAGGAAACACCATATTGTTTTCCATAGTGGCTGCACCAGTCTGCATTCCCACCAGCAGTGTACTAGAGTCCCCTTTTCTCCACACCCTCACCGGCACTTGTTGTTTGATGATTTGTTGATGGCGGCCATTCTGACAGGTGCGAGGTGATAGTTCATTGTTGTTTTAATTTGCATCTCTCTGATAATCAGTGATGTTGAGCATTTCTTCATATGTCTCTTGGCCATGTGTATGTCCTGTTTGGAGAGGTGTCTATTTAGGTCCTCTGCCCATTTTTTTTTTTTTTTTTTTTTTACTATCCTAAATTGTTTATTAGGTAAGAATTTTACAAACATTACTTATATTTGCGATAATGGTGGAGCTGGAGAGTATTGCACCATCTCCAAGCTGCACCACGAGAACCACCAATAGTGTGGTGGAATTAGTGGCCCTTTCCAAGGCCATGGCTCTTACAGCCTGCAGATGTCAGCCCTCGCATCTCCCTGTGCTTGTGGACTGGTTTGGTGATCCATGGGTGTCAGGATTCCTGCTGATAGCTTTATGGAATGGATCAATGATGATAACCTCAAATAATTTGTATGTGGAATCTTCACCAACCCAGTAAGAATTCAGGACTCTTAAAGCCCCACAGTGGCGTCCAGCTTGCTCCTCTGCAACAGACTGAAGACTTCGTGCAAACTTGAGCTGGTTAACACCATGATGGACAGGCTTGCCATAGGTTGCACCCTTAGGAACAAGGCCTTTGCGGCCACCATGGTGCACACGAATCCGATATATGATATAACCTTGCTTGGCCTTGTATCCCAGCCTGCGTGCTTTATCAGGCCGGGTGGGGCGGGCAGCCCTGTGGAGCGCAGAGAGCTGGCGTACTGCCTGCAGCGCACCTGGAGAAGGAAGCCCATTACATTGGGCTGCTTCTTCCTCCATAGCTCCTGGATGTACTTGTAAGCGCCCATCTTGGCTTACTAATGGCTGCAGCCACATGGAAAGGAAGCCTCTGCCCATTTTTTAATTGGATTCTTTGTCTTCCTTTTGTTGAGTTGTATGAGCACTCTATATATTTTAGAAATTAACCCCTTATCTGATGTATCACTGGCAATTATGTTCTCCCATATAGTGGGTTCCTTTTCCATTTTGATTCTTGTTTCTTTTGCTGTGCAGAAGCTTTTTAGTTTGACATAATCCAATTTATTGATTTTTTTCCCTTTGTTTCTCTTGCCCTAGGCATTGTATCAGTGAAAATTCTACTGCGTGTGATGTATGGGATTTTGCTGCCTACATTTTCTTCTAGGATTTTTATGGATTCATGAGTCACATTTAAGTCTTTTATCCATTTTGAGTTTCTTCTTATGTATGGTGTAAGTTGATGGTGTAGTTTCATTTTTTTGCATGTAGCTGTCCAATTTTCCCCACATCATTTATTAAAGAGACTGTCTTTACTTCGTTGTATGCTCTTGTCACCTTTGTCAAATACTAATTGAGCATAATGTCTCGGGTCAATTTCTGGGTTCTCTGTTCTGTTCCATTGATCTATATAGGGCTGGCTGTCTTAAGGAACAGGAGGAAGGCCAGTGTGGCGTAGAATCCAAGAGTGAGTGAGGTATGGGCAGGAGGGGAAGGCAAAGGCCAAGTCATTCAGGATTGTTGAGGCAAAGTTTATAAAAAGATGATCAACTCTCACATCTCTCTCTCTCTCTCTCTCTCTCTCTCTCTCATCTAAAAAGTCAATGGAAAAATATCCTCTAGTAAGGATTAACAAATAAACAAAAAATGCCAAACATAAATTATAGGTGGCATTATTTTTAAAAAAGATGATCAATACATAACCCTATATAGATAATAGAGTGCCCCGACCATGTTCTCCCCCCAGCCTCCTTCACAGGGAAGGCTGCTATCTTTCTACAAAGTCCTCTTCAAGGTACCAGTGGGCCATGGAATTCTTATGGCAAATCTAAAGATCAGTGCTGTTTCCTGGCCCCTCCCTATACTGCCCCATCCTTTTTTAAAAATTTTATTTTTCTTTATTAATTTTTAGAGGGAGAGATAGAAACATCGATGAGAGAGAACTTTGATTGGCCGCCTCCTACACGCCCCCCACTGGAGATTTGGCCCACAACCTGGGCATGTGCCCTGACTGGGAATCAAACTGGCGACCTCTTGGTACATGGGCCAACACTCAACCAGTGAGCCACACAGGCTGGGCTGCCCCAGCCTAATATCCCTGGCTGAACTAGCTCACTGAGCTACCTTGAGGGAGAAAGGCAGCCGGCCCCACTCCTCAGACTTGTTGATGGCTGACCGTGTGTTAGAGCAGTGTCTTTCCATGTCCCTCTGCTGCCATCTGCTTGTCTTTGTTTTATTTTATTTTATTTTATTTTATTTTTTATCTTCACCCAAGGACATTTTTTTGTTTTTGTTTTTTGTTCAGATAGAAAGGGAGGGAGAGTGAGGAAGAGAGAGAGAGAGAGAGAAACTTCGACGTGAAAGGGACACATCGAGTGGCTGCCACCTGCACAACCCAACCAGGGCCGGGGACAAAGTGCAACCGAGGTACATGCCCTTAGCGGGAACTGAACCCGGGTCTTCCTGGACCGCAGGCCGACACTCTAACCGCTGAGCCAAACCAGCCAGGGCCCATCTGCTTGTCTTTGAAAGAGGAAGAGAGAGGGAGAGGAAGAGGGGAAAATGGGTGTCAGCACACCAGGACAGCACACATAGAAGGGAAACAGGTTACCAGTCCGGGGCTAGGAAGTCCCCAGCCTTGGTGCCAATACTTGTGCCCTAGGCTCCCAGGGGCCACCCCATTCACCTGCTTCTCCAAAGTCCTGTCCCACATTCTAGGGAGCCTGGGGGGCAGATGGCACAGCATAGAAGGATAAGTGTCCTTGCCCTGGGACTTCCAGACAACCCTCTGGTCCAGCGCCTGGAGATCAAGGGGCAGGAATGGGAGGGCAATTGGTTGAGGACTGCTAGTGGTGACACAGGTAGTCTATACAAGTGCAAGGACTCTGACATAAAATTCATTATCTCTTTTTCTTTTTAAATATATATATTATTTTAGAGAGAGAGGAAGGGAAAGAGAGAGAGAAAAAAACATCGATGAGAGAGAACATTGATTGGCTGCCTCCTGCATGTCCCCCACTGGGCATCAGGCCCACAGGTGGGGCATGTGCCCAGACCAGGAATGGAACCGGCAGCCTCTTGATGCATGGGTCAACACTCAACCACTGAGCCACACCAGCCAGGCGAAACTCATGATCTTGAAAGCAAAAGGTTAAGGTGTGTCTTAGACAGTTCAGGCCAACATAACAAAGTATTATAGCCTGGCTGGCTTAAAAAACAAAATTTATTTTCTCACAATTTCAGAGCCCAGAAGTCCAGGGTGTCAGTATGGTCATGTTCTGGTGACAGCTCTCTCCCTGGCTTGTAAATGGCCACCTTCTCGCCATATCCTCACATGGCAGAGAAAAAGAACAAGCTTTCTGGTCTCTTCTTATCAGGACAATAATCCCATCATGAGGACCCTACCCTCATGCCCTCTTCTAACCCTAATCACCTCCTAAAAGCCCCACATTCTAATACCATCACATTGGGTTTAGGGCTTCAACATATGAACTTGGGGGGTGCAGATAATCAGTTTGTGAATAATAGGTGTATATGTGTAAGGGATTACTTAGTAATAACACAGAAAAACCACCCATCTTGAAGTAGTGGGGGGCATTATTCTAGAATGTGAGGCCTCTGATCTCTTTAGGGGTGTGTCTCTAGAGTGTGAAATCTCTGATCTGTTTGGAAGTCTGTGTCCAGGGTATGAAGTTAGGAGCTGAGTTAGAGTATGACCACTATGACTTACTATGGGTCTTTCTGAGCTAAGTCTCTACTAATAAGTGTTCTGTGCCTCAGGGTGCAATGCTCCTAAATTCTTTTGGGGTGTGAGCTCTGGGGTCTTCTTCATCTCCACCCATCCCTCACCCCACCCTCACCCTCTGATGCTGAAAGGCAGGAAACATTCATCAACCCCATTGCTGTTTGCCTTACCCTGAGCTAGCCTCTGTCTCTCTTGTGGGTTTACCTGTCCAGCCTCTGGAGCATGTGGGTTTGAGATTCTTGTTCCTAGACATACCCTAGATACCTCCCCCCATACACACAAATGCTCTGTGCTATGGATTTTTTTTTTAGTATGTGATTTTCCTTTATAAAGAGTTATACACATGATACATGAACCTAGCTTTGTTTAGTGGTTCCAACAATACATCAATATATGGAATACATCAATATATGAACTACACAGGTCATCTCCACCTCCACCTTCCAAAAATGGCTACCAGGGTTAGCCATTTCCTTCCGCATGCGTGTGCGTGCACGCACACACACACACACACACACACACACACACGGTCACCATAACCAGCTCTCACCTGCTTTTCCTTGTCAACAGCATGTCCTATGGAAGGCACCCCCACTTTCACAGGTACGCACAGGTCCCATTCATTTTGTGTCACGTGTGGCTGGTGCTCTGTGATATAATGCCAACTTCCACCATCATCTCACTCTGCAACAAATGGACAATTACAAGATTTTCCCAGTTGTTTGTGCCTTGTGCACACAGCTCTGGGCATGTGTGTGAGTGTTAGAAGTGGAATTGCTGAGTCAAAGGGTTCATTCACTCAACAAACACTTAATGTGTGTGTTCTGTGTACCAAGCACTGTTCTAGGTGCTGGGAGACATCAGAGAACAAGATAGAAAAATGTCACTGCCCACATGAAGCTGACATTCTAGTTGGGGAGGAGGAAGGGGTTCAATTTTTATTTAGATGTTTCACAAGGTCCTGGAAGGGTTTATTCCCATCAGCGGTGCACTTGCTGGTTTATTCCCCGCTAGTCTCTGCACGGTGGGATCTGCAGCAGGAAGCTGCTGCATTAGCTTTTGCTCTTTATAAGATCTACAGGGTCTGGGACTGGAACGGTCTATTTGGGGATGTGGGACACGTGTGCATGTGCGTGTGCGTGGTTAGAGAGAGGGATATAGCAATTGAATGGTCAATTGGGGAAAGTAAAGGGAAATAAGAAGAGGAGAGATCACTTAATGGTAGTGGAGGGAGCAAGGGACAAAATGATCCATTGAATTAAGCATAAAGAGCCTATCCTGGGTCACCCCTACCAGGGGTGCTGGGAGCAGCAGCACTGAGGAATATATTACTGTCTCAGAATATACCATTGTGCAATTGTTGTGTGGACGCTCCTAGGGCCACACAGACTGGGGTGTAGACACCCTAGGGGTCACAGAGACAGGGGTGTGGACGATCCTGGAGTCACACTGAGTGGGGTGTGAATACTCCTGCGGCCACATAGACAGAGGTGTGGACACCACATGTGGTAACAGACACATGAGGGTGTGGACAGTCTTAGGTTACTCAGACGGGACTCTGGGCATTGCAGAAGTCACACACACTGAGGAGTGGACACTCTTGGAATCATACACACCAGAGACTGTACTCTGTTGGGGTCACTCAGAGTGGGGTGTAGACACTTCTGGGGTCAGGCTGACTAGCATGCCAACACTACTGTAGTCAAAGAAGCTGGGGTGTGGTCAATCCTGGGGTCAAACTGATTTGTATGTGGACACATCTGGGGTCACACACACTAAGGAGTGGACAATCCTGAGTTACCGAGACTGGTTAGTGGATATTCATAGGGTCGCACATACTGGGGTGTGGACATCCCAGGGGTCAGATAGCCTGAGTTGTGGATGCCCCTGAAGTAACACAGATTAGAGTGTGGAGCCTCTTGCAGTCATTCAGACTGGGATCTGGCCCCTCCCTCCTGGGCTCAGACCACCTAAGGTGTGGGCAACTGTGAGGTCACACAGAGTGGGTGTGCACAGACATGGGGTCACAAAGCTGGGGGTTTAGACACTCCTGGAGTTACTCAGGCTAGAGTTGTGGATACACATGAGGTCACTCAGAAAGGTGTATAAACACTCCAAGGGTTACACAAACTGGAAAGTCAACATTCCTGGAGTCATCCAGAGGGAGTTTGAGATACTCTTAAAGTTAAACACACATGTTGCAGACTGGACACTTCCTCATGTAGCACAGACTGAGGTGTGAACATCCATGGTGTTACACAGAGGAAGGGATGTGGACATTCTTGTGGTCAAAGAAATGATGAGTTGGCACCCCTGGGGTCAGAGATTGAGGTGAGGACACTCCTGTGATTGCACAGAGTAGTTGATGGATACGCCTCCACACAGACTTGGAAAGGAACACCTCTGAGATCAGAATCAGACAAAGTGGTGTGGTTGGCCCTGGGGTCACACAAATGGGTATTTGGACACTCATGGGGTCACACACACTGGGAAGTCAACATTCCTGGGGTCACTCACATAGGGATTTGAACACTTCTGATCATATGGTCTAGGGTGTGATCACTGCTGGTGTGACACAAAGCAGGGTTTGAATACTCCTAGAATCACACACTGGGATGGGGACATTTCTGGCTTCACACACAGGGGTGTACACACTCATGGTGTCACACAGATTGGGGAGAGGCTACTCTTGGGGGCCACACAGATTGGGGACAGAATGATGCTGGAAGCATGTATTTGGAGACCACAAACAACCAACTAAACTTCCCTAAATAAGGCAGGCTTAAACTCTAGCCGATCAAAAAAAATGATCACCTCATTCTGCTTCTGCATCTGCTCTACAAAAGCCTTGCCCCCGCTTCTGTCGGGGAGTGCTCCTGCCCACTTTTGGGTGCTGCCTAATTTGAATTGATGTCTGTTCAAATAAACTCCTAACAATGTTAATGTGCCTCAGTTTGTCTTTTTTTTTTTTTATCCTCACCCGAGGACATTTTTCCATTCAGACAGAGCGGGAGGGAGAGAGAGGAAGAGAGAGAAACATCGACATGAAAGGGACACATCGAGTGGCTGCCACCCGCACAACCCAACCAGGGCTGGGGACAAACTGCAACCGAAGTACATGCCCTTAGCAGGAACCGAACCCGGGTCTCTCTGGACCACAGGCCGACGCTCTAACCGCTGAGCCAAACTGGCCAGGGCCTCAGTTTGTCTTTTAACACACCTAAGCCACACATATGACAGACAGGCTCTGGAATGTGGCCTCACTTTTAATCGCCATGTAACACCCACAGACGCCCTCTTTTCATGGCTATTGAGGTTGCTGGAGAATCATCTCTAATCTATTGCTTGGAAGGTCTGCAGTTCCTGTGACCTTGGGCTTCTCACATCCTTCCAGAGTTGATCTTACTGTTTATTTTTCTGTGAAATGAGGATCATTCGTTTCCTTCCCCCTTTGCCAAGACATTTTGAGGATGGAGTGAAGTTCTCAAGTTAAAACTGCTTTGCAATATGTAGCACTAGGACTAAGACTCTTCCTAAAATTCAAAGCAGTGAACTGGCTGGTCAAGATGATGTGGGGAAATAAGCTGGGAGAGTGGACACCTAGTTTGTAATCATAGATCTAACTGTGTGACCTTAAGCAAGTCACTTGCCTGCAATGAGCCTCAGGTTCCTGGGTATAACACCAGTCTGACAGGGTGTCACATGGGTGGTTAGCTGTCCTCAAAACCTATGCTTCATCTGCCCTACTGTTGAACTGTTGCAAAGCAGCTGCCCAGCCAGAAACTACATTTCCCATTCTCTCTTTTTTTTTTATTAATTAATTCTCTCTCTTTTTTTTTTTATTAATTAATTTTTGTTACAGATGTTTCTCTCCCATTCTCTCTTGCACCTGGTTGGGCCAAATGACAAGTCTTGCCAAATGGAATTTGAACTAAAATGATGTGTGTTCTTAAGAAACAGCTGTGCTTTGTCCATTTGCTCTTTGTCCATATTTTGGAGGC